GCAAGATCTCTGTCTCTGTCTCTCTCTGCCTTTCAAATAAATACATTGTTTTAAATATTTTTTAAAAAGAGAGTTGATCTTATGAAAATTTTAGAAAAGCTTAATAAAAGTAACTTTCTCAAAACAACTATAGTCCAGTTAAATGAAAATAAGACAATTATAAAAGTATTGGGAACAATAAAAATTGTAAGGCTTTGCATGCAGATTACTTTGCAAATCTCTAAGTTCCCACTCTTCTTTAAGGAAAATGAAACTGGAAACCATAATTTGTATATTTATAAGAGATTTGAAGTTGAACTCCAGTGTTGGGACTCAAAGAAATGATCTTGACCTTTTATTAATTTTTTTTAAGTTAGTGATGAAAGTACACATTTAAGTTGAAAAGTTTATAGTATGGGCCGGCGCCGCGGCTCACTAGGCTAATCCTCCGCCTAGCGGCGCCGGCACACCGGGTTCTAGTCCCGGTTGGGGCACCGGATTCTGTCCCGGTTGCCCCTCTTCCAGGCCAGCTCTCTGCTGTGGCCAGGGAGGGCAGTGGAGGATGGCCCACGTGCTTGGGCCCTGCACCCCATGGGAGACCAGGAAAAGCACCTGGCTCCTGGCTCCTGCCATCGGATCAGCGTGGTGTGCCGGCCGCAGCGCGCTGGCCGGGGCGGCCATTGGAGGGTGAACCAACGGCAAAGGAAGACCTTTCTCTCTGTCTCTTTCTCTCACTGTCCACTCTGCCTGTCAAAAAAAATAAAAAAAAATAAAAAATAAAAAAAAATAAAAGTTTATAGTATGTTCTATGATTCTTTGCTTTAGTTGGCTTTTTCAATTAACCAGTCGGCTGATAGTTAATCATATCAGGTAAGATACAATCCTTGCAACCCCATCCTCCCAAGCCAGTAGAATCAGGTCAATTAGGTAAGATTCTCCTATGAACTTCAAATATTTACTCTTTAGGAAATCATTTTGGGCATTTCTTTACCCTCTCAAGACTTCCCTGGATAGTCTAGTTGGTTTGATTTCATCTGCATGAGACACTGGAAGCTGAAGAACACCATGTGATCCACCATCCCCTGCCTTCTTCCTCCTAGAATCCTATTCAACGTCTTCTGTTTCTGCCTCCCTGGGAATTTTAGTGTTTTAGTTCAAAAATATTAACTCTCATTTTGTTCCATCTACCTTTCTCTAGTTACAATGAGACTTATTACTGTTTAATTTGTTATCTATGTCTATGGCCTCTACTCTCTCATTTCCCTCTTTAATCCCATCTAACTGACTCCTTACCACTTCTGAGTAAAATGAACCTACTGATCAAATTTTGATATTTCTTTGATGTTCTGATACTCTCCTTTATGTCCTCTATAACTGGTAACAGATACTTCTATGTGTCTTCTCTCATAATTCCTTTTCTTGGCTCTCAGTTTTACCAAGCTCTTAACTATGTCTTTCAAAGTTCTTTTCCTTAAGAGGAGTTCAACTTACATGATTTTAATCAGCATTTATACTTGACTATCTCTCAACTACATCTGTATTCTAAGATCCTACATCCTATAAAATGTTTCTCTTTTGGAACTTTCCTTTTTTTTTCTTCCTAAAAAATATATTTATTTGAAAGGCAGAGAGAAAGAGACAGACAGATTTCCCATCCACCGGTTCACTCCCCCAAATGCAACAGCTGGGTTTGGGCCAGGCCAAAGCCAGGAGCTGGGAACTCAATCAGGGTCTCCAATGTGGGTGGCAGGGACTTGAGTCATCATCTGCTGCCTCCCACGAGTACAAGTTAGCAGGAAGCCAGAACAGAAAGCAGAGCTGGGACTTGAGCCAGGCTGTCTAATATGGGAAGCAGGTGTCCCAAGCAGCCTGCCCCCTGGAATTTCCCTATTTGCTTCAGTAATTGAAGTACAGGGTCCCACTTTCTCACACAATAGTGACATTCACATAAGAAAAAACAGTAAGTACTATTATTATTATCCCCACTTACAGGTAAGAGAATCATAGCTTAAAGAGATAAGCTAATTCGGCCTAAGTGGCAGAGCTAGGGCTTGAAGTCAAGCCAGTAACACTAAAATGCATACTCTTATCCACTCTGTTAGAGTGCCTCAAAGATTACTTCCTTAAAGATTATGCCAACGGGCCGGTGTTGTGGCATAGCGGGTAAAGCTGCTGCCTGTAACACCGGCAACCTGTATGGGCACCAGTTGAGACCTGGCTGCTCCACTTCTGATCCAGCTCCCTGCTGATGTCCCTGGGAAAGCAGCCCAGGAAAAAAGTGCTTGGAAAGTACTTGGGGCTCTGCACTCATGTGGGAGGTCTGATAGAATCTCCTGACTTCTGGCTTCGGCCTTGCCCAGCCCAGGCCATTGTGGCCATTGAGAAGTGAACCAGTGGATAGAAGATCTTTCTGTCTCTTCCTCTCTCTGTGTAACTCTTTCAAATAAATAAATAACTCTTTTAGAAAGAAAACAATGCCAAGTAGGAAGTTCCTGGGAGCATCTCTGGTTTCACAACCTTGAATAAGTCTTACCTGGAAGCAGACTAAGCCACAGAGGGCAAGAACACGTCCTTTCATGCCACGGTTGAGCCAGCCCTTTCTCCAAAAGTAGGCAGCAGGCAGGATGTATGCAAGGCCTACAATGCGACCCCACATCCGATGTGAGTACTCCATGTACCAGATGAATTTGAATTCTGCCAATGTCATGTTATGATTCAGGCTGGGTAAAATGGGAAGTCAAAAATGAAAAAAGAGGAAACATCTATGTGATTATTATTTCCCAATGGAATACAGAAACATTCTCAGTCTTGTAGCCTGGTTCTGCCCTCTTCCTCAGAATGACTTTGTAGGGGCCAGTGTTGGGGTGCAGCAGGTTAAGCTAACACCTGAGACACTGGCATCCTATATAAGCAGTGGTTCAAGTCCCAGCTGCTCCACTTCTGATCCAGCTCCCTGCTAATGCACCTGGAAGACAGTGGAAGATGGCCCAGTGCTTGGGCCCCTGCTACCCAGGTGAGAGACCCAGATGGAGTTCCAGGCTCCTGGCTTCAGGCTGGCCCAGCCATCTGGGTAGTGAACCAGCAGACAGATGCACTCTGTCTGTCCTTCTCTTTGTAACTGCTTTTTAAATCGATCAATCTTCTTTTTTCTAAAGAATGACTTTGGAATTGTAGCTGTAGAATAAGCAAATGACTAAATATAACTGAACTGAAGATCAAGAAATAAAGAAATCTGGGGGCAGGTGTTTGGTATAGCAATTAAGACACCACTTGGGATGCCCACATACCATATCAGAGTGCCTAGGTTCAAGTCCCAGCCCTATTCTCAATTCCAGCTTCCTGCTAATAGGCACGCTGGGAGGCAGTGGGTGATGGCTCAAGTAGCTGGTTCCTGTCACTGATGGAGGAGACCTGGATGGAGTTCCTGGCTCCTGGCTTCTGCCTGGTCCAGCCCTGGCTGTGGTGGGCATTTGGGGAGTGAACCAGTGGATGGGAGATCTGTCTCTTGGCCTTTGAAACAAATAATTTTTTTAAAAGAAAAGAATCTAACTATTCTGAAGTTTTGTTTTTTTTTTTAAAGATTTACTTATTTATCTGAAAGAGTTACACAGAGAGAGGAGAGGCAGAGAGAGAGAGAGAGAGAGGACTTCCATCTGATGGTTCACTCCCCAGCTGGCTGCAATGGCTGGAGCTATGCCGATCCGAAGCCAGGAGCCAGGAGCTTCTTCCAGGTCTCCCACACGGGTGCAGAGGCCTAAGGACGTGGGCCATCTTCTACTGCTTTCTCAGGCCATAGCAGAGATCTGGATCAGAAGTGTAGCAGCCAGGTCTCGAACCAGTGCCCATATGGGATGCCAGCCCTTCAGGCCAGGGTGTTAACCCACTGTGCCACAGCGCTGGCCCCCTGAAGGATTTTAAATAAACAAAAAACTGAACTGGCATAGTGGGATATTTACCCCAATTTTCTCTAATACTTACATTTTAAATTCAGGAAATTGCTGGTATTTTTTGAATTCTGCTTCCCACTCTTCTTGGCTTGTAGGTGGCTTCATTTCCTTTATTAAATGCCAGTCTACCATTGAGAGGCCAGACTCTGTTAACCTTGGGATAAGGAAAAATTTTGGAGTATGTATGTGATGAATTACTCAGAAATGGCTTATGGAGATAAGGAGGTTGGAATTTCACCCCACTGCAAGTAAACACATCCTTTCACTGTTTTTTTTCTTTCAATACCTTTCTCTCCTACTACTTAGAATTTTTTCAGAGACAACTGTTATCAGGTACAAATTTCTTTAAACTCTTATTCTATTCTTTCACTCAACTCTTCCCACTTTTTTCTTTCACTAGCATTCCTTCACAGTCAAAACTAACCCTTACATCAAGAAATGTTGACTAAATGCTTAACCAACTTTATTTATACAGGGGAAAGAGATTTATTACAGTATATAGGTTTAAATCCCTGAGTGAATTTAAAGATATAAAACTCAAATTTGTTGCAGTTTGCCATAACAGTCTACATAACACATGAGGAATCTTGACATAAAAGCAGAGAATATGTACAGAATTTGAGGGAAACATCCTTTATTAAACCAGAAAGCATCTTCACCAAAAGGAGTTAAGGTTCCTAAAGTAAAACCTGATTTTAGGCCTGAGGCAGGAAACATACAAGATGAGCCTGGAACATCTTATCACAGAAGAAGCAAGGAAGCTATCCAAGGTAACTAGGGCCCTGTCAAAATGATGTCAGAGCCAAATTAAAGAGATTCCCACTAACTAAAGATGAGACAATGTGAGCAAGTCATCAACACCATCATCACAATGGACTGAAAATCAGCGAATGTGTTTAAACCTGTGAACTCATAATGCCACTTTAAATCTCAAATACTTTATTTGTTGCCTTTGTAAGACCTTAGAAACCATTATTTTGAAAACCGGTAAATAAAGAGAAAGCAGCAAATATTTATCCTGCCTTCCTATGTAAACAGTGCCTTGGGATAACCAAAATGCTGATGGGAAAAGTTTCCCTTTACTAAAATATTGAAATTTTGCAACTCTAAATAATGGACCAGGCAATGGTAATCAATGTGTTGACATCTGTAATAGACATCAGATATTCACAAATGTGCTAATCACCTATGAACCATTTTACCCTCTCATTCCCAACCTGAAGCTCATGAAGCAAATACCTATTGTAGGAAGTACAGAGAACAAACAGACTTGTTAAACATCACCACAGAATGCAGTCAGCAAAATCCAGAGGAACCATGGAATGAATGACTTGGTTTCTTCAACAATAAAAAAGTCTACAAAGCAGAGGAAGCAAGAGAGTCTGAATCTGTAATGTTTCTTTTAAAGAGACATGAACTCATTGTGACATATGGAATTTATTTGGGTTTAATTTAAACTGGGAAGAAAGTTTTATGGTGGGTGTTTGGGGCAGGCAGTGGTTAAAGACACCACTTGGCGGGGCCGGCTCCGAGGCACAGTAGGATAATCCTCCGCCTGCAGCACCAGCATCCCATATGGGCGCCAGTTCTAGTCCCAGCTGCTCCTCTTCCGATCCAGCTCTCAGCTGTAGCCTAGGAAAGCAGTAGAGGATGGCCCAGGTTCTTGGACCCCTGAACCTACGTGGGAGATTTGAAAGAAGCCCCTGGCTCCTGGCTTCGGATCAGCGCAGCTCTGGCCGCTGCGGCCATTTGGAGAGTGAACCAGCAGATGGAAGACCTTTCTCTATCTCTCCCTCTCACTGTATGTAACTCTACCTCTCAAATAAATAAATAAAACTCTGAAAAAAAGATACCACTTGGGACACCCATGTCCTATATTGGAGAGCCTGTTTGAGTCCTGGCTCCATTTCTGATTCCAGCTTCCTACTGATGTGCACCCCAGGAGGCAGCAAGTGATGGCTCAAACACTTGGGTTTTGTTAGTCCTTGCCACCCACATGAGACCTGGACTGAGTTACAGACTCCTAGTTTTAGCCTGGCCTGGCCCTACCTGCTGTGGGCATTTGGGGAGTGAACCAGCAGATGGAGCTCTCTCTCTCTCTTTCTAGCTATCTGTCTTTCAAAAACAAACAAAAAAAATAATAAAAGAAAAAAGGTATGAGACAATTTGAATATTGACCGCAGAACAAAAATATATACAAGCAATACACAGCTAAACCAGTCTTCACGAAAGATTCCCAATAAAATACTAAGCCTAGGGCTGGTTTTGTGTGTAGCTGCTGCTGGCTCCAACACTTCATATCAGAGTGCTGGTTTGAGTCCCAGCCACTCTGCATCTAATCCAGGTTCCTGATGATGTGCCTGGGAAGGCAGTAGAAGACAGCCCAAGCACTTGGGCCTCTGCTACTCATGTGGGAGACCTGTTTGGAATCCCCTGGCTCTTGGCTTCAGCCTGGCCTAGCCCCAGCTATGGCGACCAACTGGGGAGTGAAGCAGCAGATGGAAGATGGATCTCTTTCTGGATGGATCCCTTTCTCCGTCACTCTGGCTTTCAAATTCACAAATAAATAAAATCTTTTATTTAAAAAAAAAAAAACAAACCACTAAACTATTCTATAGAAGGGTAAGTGATCAGCCATGTTCCCTCTTTAGGGCCTCAATTTCTTGTTTTGTAAAACAAGAGGCTACCTAAATGATCCCTAAGGTCCTTTTCCTCTCAGTTACCTGTGCTTCTACCGATGACCCAAATTACTCACCTTGTTATTCCACCGAGAATAACTGCTCCAGCCACTGTCCCACTGCAGACCAGGAGCCATCGGCCCACCACTCGCTCAGCAGCCTTTGAGGGAAGGGAATCTGTACCACTTCCAGACCGCAAAGCTACTTCAGGGATGGTACTGTACTGCCCTGGCTTCAAAGGGCGCCTGATGCCACAGCTGCAACCACACTAAGGATGGAGACAGACACATTACAGCTGGAGAAACAGGGAAAGGCTGCTGTCCACACTCAGCCCCACTGGCGAGAATGAAGTCCCTGAATGGCTGTATCCCAATGCTCTGCCTGGTAAACCGTCATCTCCTATCTGGATTACTGCATCCACCTTCCGACTGGTTTTCCTGCCTTGCACCGATCCATCCCCACATTACATGCATTGTCTGGTCTCCGCATACTTCCTCCAGACACCTAAATAGGGATTATTTTCTCTCTCCTCTAGGTCTTTAAACATGATTTCTCCCTGTCCTTTGACTGTTATCAGAAACTGCGAATCTCAGTTTGTCTGCCACCTCCTCTGGGAAGTGTTTCCAGACCCTGCAAGGTCAGCAACAGGTCACTCTCACCGCACTGCCATGTACCTTCCCGTTCACCTGTGGAGGGTCTGGTCGGTCTTGTTCTTTCCCTCCTACTTCCATAGTTCCCTTCCCTAACAGACCCTTAATAATATTCAGCAAATGGATTAACTATCACTTGCTCCGGGGCAGCAGCCTTGTAGTATCTTTTCCCAGTACCTGACACACAAAAAAATCATCCAACACGGAGTGGGTGTCACCCTTATCGGAGCACTTGGGTTGGGATCCTGGCTCCCACTCCTGATTTCAGCTTTCTGCTAATGCACACCCTCTAAGGTGCAATGATGGCTCCAGGAGCAGGGTCTCTGCCACCCACGTGGGAGACCTGGAATGCATTCCTCCATCCAAAACAAGGCCCAGCCCTTAGGGACATCTGATTCTGTCTCTCAAATAACTTTGTAAAAAATCACTCAGTGATTATTAGTTAAGTGAATACATGCCCACTTCTGCCTCTGTCTTTAAGAGTAAAAGGATCCATGTTCAGTTTCCTACTTCGAATTAACTGAGCAACTGAGCGGCGCGGCGGCCATGGGAGGGTGAACCAATGGCAAAGGAAGACCTTTCTCTCTGTCTCTCTCACTGTCCACTCTGCCTGTCCAAAAAAAAAAAAAAAAAAAAAAAGACTCAATGTCCTTCTCTACAGAATGGGGTTATAAAGTGGTTCCTAATCTGACTGTTTTGGGGGATCTTAGCAAAACTAAAACTAGAAATTACTGACCTTTATACCACGTGCTTAAGGTTTGATGTACCTTGGTTATACAGCCTTACGGAGTAGGTAGTGTTATTCCCATTTTACAGATATATAAATTGAGGTACAGAAGGGTTAACTTGGTGAACATCACACGGTTAGCAAGCGGAAGGTTAGATTCCTGCTTAGGCCTCTAGACACAAGGAAATACGGATGCAATGAAGGGAGTACAGAAATCTGATGTTTATGCCGGCCCTTTCACCGCACACCCGCTCCCGTGATCCAAGTCTGCTGCGGTGTACCTGTGCTCCGGGCGCTGCCTTAGGAACCAGCAGCGGGAGACCCCGGCCCCCCAGCAAAGCCTTCAAGGACGGCACAAGCAGCCGCTGCATGGTGACAACCGCGCACAGCTGCCGCCGGCCAAAGCGCCCTAGGGTCTCCCTTCTCCGCTACCGGGAGGGCGAGTACTTCCGGGCCATGCGGAATCAAGCGAGCAGTCAGTGCGCCTGCGCCGACGAGTCCGCTTTCGCGGGGGTTTCTGGGTCGCGGGCATCGGGGCCGCGCAGGGCCGCGCGCAGCCACTGAGAACGCGCTCCTTGGGTCGCGCGCGGCGGAACGAGGCGAGGCGTGGAAAGCCGAGGCGAGCGAGGGAACGCGGGAAACATGAAGAGGCAGGGACTCTCCTCGGAGCGGAAACTGGCGCGGATCTCGTCGGGGAAGGCCGGTGCGGAAGGTGACGGGGGAGGGCGGCCGCCGACGGGGCTCCTCGGCGCTGGCGGGCGTGGGTCGTGCCTTGTCGCGAGTTCCCCCAGAGTGGTCTCCACAGCTTCTCGCGGCGCGGCACGTTCTACCCTGGCGGCTTTAAACGTGTGGAAACGCGAGGCCGCCAGGAGCCGCGCCAGAGCGGCCGGGCCGTGGAGCCAGTTGTGCGGGTTCGAGTCCGGCGCCCCAACGTGCCGTCGTGCGACCTGTGCCAGGGGAGGCACTTCTCTGGGCGACGCGCCGCGCCCCGCGTGGCCCCCCGAGGGTAGCAGCAGCGCCCGCACCCTCGCCAGGACGCTGCCTCCCCCGGCCGGCCCCGGAGCCGCCGCTGCCCAGTGGCGGGCCCCGCGTTCTTCCCGCCGCGCCAGGCGAGGGTGGCATTGGCTGGTGCCAGGGAGTTCATCAGAGCCCGCCTCCTCCTCGGCGAACTCTGGGTGCTTCAGACGAGCGTTTCTCGCACCTTTTGCTCGCAGGACACCCTTTGCCCTCTTGAGAACTATTAAAAACCCCCCAAAGGTGTTTTTCTTTTTGTCGATTACAGCTACCAGTTTTGGCCATATCAGAAAGAAAAAGAAAATTTAAAACATTTTTGTTAGTTGAATAAGTAGAAAATAACCACAGTAAGCCCATGACATGTGAACATAAATATTGTTTTGAAAAATAATCTTCCTAAACAAAACAAAAATAGCCAAAGAAGGCCAACGTTTTTGGTGTTTTTGCAAATCTACTTGATAAGCCGTCTAATGGATGACAGCTGGATTCTCCACCTACTTTACATTAAATCTAACATGTCAGGTAGCTTCCTGAAAACTCCACTCAACTTGTGAGAGAGAGAGAAAAAGGAACATAAAGTGTTCATATTATTTAGGAACCATTGGCACCCCACAGACCCTTTCAGACTCTCAGAGGTCTCCAGAGCTCCCTGACCCACCACACTTGGAGCGCTGTGGCTTCAAACAAATTATTTTCCTTCTTTCATTCCTGCAACTAATTTTGTTGCTTAGGACGATGGCCTTGCTCTGCCTTCTATGAGAGCCTTTAGTGTCCACCTGCACCCAGGCCTGCCTGCCCCGGGACCCTTGTTTGTGTGAGGCAGATGGTCACCACTGCCTCACTAACTCCACTTGGAGCTAGTGCAGTGGTGCTGGTTAACAGCGTAGGTTGACATTGGCTCACTTTGCAACTGTTAGGCATCTTCAAAGGCAGTTATAATTTGATGTTAGCAGTGACAGACTTTTGTTTGTTTTTCAAAGTAAAAATTGCCTCTTTTAGAATTGTAAAAGCAATATTAGGTAGAAAAGTCAGCATAGAAAAGTAAAAATGAAAATAATTCCAGATTCTACCACCCAGTGAGTGGCGAACATTTATTCAGGTATCATCACATGAAGATGCGTTCAGTTTCTTAATTTTAAAAAAAATGTGCTTAATGATAGAAAAAACTCAAAAACTTTTTTTTTTTTTTAAACAGGCAGAGTGAACAGTGAGAGAGACAGAGAGAAAGGTCTTCCTTTGCCATTGGTTCACCCTCCAATGGCCACCGTGGTCAGCACGCTGCGGCCAGCGCACCGTGCTGATCCGAAGCCAGGAGCCAGGTGCTTATCCTGGTCTCCCATGGGGTGCAGGGCCCAAACACTTGGGCCATCCTCCACTGCACTCCCTGGCCACAGCAGAGAGCTGGCCTGGAAGAGGAGCAACCAGGACAGAATCCGACACCCCGACCGGGAGTAGAACCCGGTGTGCCGGCGCCGCAAGGCAGAGCATTAGCCTAGTGAGCTGCAGCGCCAGCCTCAAAAACTCTTAACATCACACTTTTTAGTGTAATGACATGATTTTTTAAAAACAGATTTATTTTATTTGAAAGGCAGAGTCACACAGAAAGAGATCCTTCATCCACTGGCTCACTCCCCAAATGGCTGTATCAGCTGGGACTGGGGCAGGAGCCAGGAGCTCCATCCGGGTTTCCCATGTGGGTGCATGGGCCTAGGGACTTAGGCCATCTTCCTCTGCTTCTCAGGTGCGTTAGCAGGGAACTGGATTGGAAGTGGAACAGCTAGGACCTGAACTGACGCCCATATGGATCTAGTGTTGCAGGCAGTGGCTTAAGCCACTACACCACAATGCTGGCTCCAAGACATGATTTTTATAAATTTGTAATTATTCATCCTTGAATCAACATTTGAATAGCTTTTGTATCATGATAGACACTACTTATTGTTGACTTATAATCAAGATTTCTTGCATAAAGATTTTACTTAAGAACTTTACTTCCAGTAAGAGTGATCAGACACCTAACTGCGTAAATAATACAAGGAAGAAGTAATTAGTGGATTTTTTTTTAAAGATTTATTTATTTGAAAGAGTTACTGAGAGAGGTAGAGACAGGAGAGAGGTCTTCCATCTGCTTGTTCACTCCCCAGATGGCCACAATGGCCAGAGCTGTGCCGTTCTGAAGCCAGGAGCTTCTTCCAGGTCTCCCACATGGGTGCAGGGGCCCAAGGACTTGGGCCATCTTCTACTGCTGTCCCAGGCCATAGCAGAGAGCTGGATTGGAAGAGGAACAGCCAGGACTAGAACCAGCGCTCATATGGGATGCTGGCGCTTCAAGCCAGGGCTTTAGCCCACTGTGCCATAGTGCCGGCCCTGTAATTAGTGTTTTAAAGAGAAACATAACTCATGAAGACTTGTATGAGTTCAGAAGAGGGAGATACAATTTCCTTCTTTGGGAAAGAGAAAAAAATCATGGAAATGTGATTTGTCATGAGCTTTAGCAAATTGAGCATTTGAAGATGTTGCTGAAAGGACTGCGTGAGGAAGCTGGAGTAAACAATATCAGGGATGGGGATTGGAGATAACTGGAAACATAAAGAAGAAATAGTGCATAGTTTATTGATGATAACATTTTTTGAATTCTTAGTGGGTCCTATATACCGTACATGAACCATATCATTTAATTCTCATTACTCAGGTAGAAAGTAAAACCTACTTTGTTTTATAGAAAACTTGTCTAGGATCAGACAGTAGAACTGGGATTTGAACTCTGTCCCTGCTTTTCAACATAATGTTCCTTGTAAAGGAAGTTTAAATGTATTCTTTAGGCATTGAGAGGCATTGGAAAAAACTAAGTTGAAATGCTATGTTGAAGTCTGTGTTTTAGGAGAATTAATTTGGCACTTAGTATGTATTTTTCTGGGTGTAATTTCTTATACATATGTCTGTGTACCTATTTCATAGCCCTGAGACATAAATTTCATAATTAATGTAGTATTTACTGCACTCATGTGTCCTAGTTTACTCTTTTGTTTCTCCACTATTGGAATTTTGGCAGCAAAATGTAAAATATTTGTGGCAGATTGGTCTGGATGGATAGTACCCTAGTGAATTTGCTTTGTTTTTGTATTTTAGGAGCAGCAAATGGATCTCTCATGGAAGTGTGTGTTGATTCAGTGGAGTCAGCAGTGAATGCAGAAAGAGGAGGTAGGAGAAATTGGAGAGTGTGTGACAGTTGGCAGTTTTAAGAGTCTGAAAATGAATCCCGTGAACTGACCTCAGAAGCCCTAGTAATGCTTTCAAAACAAGCAACTAGAAAACCTAGAAAATTATGTCTCTCCTCCCTTCCTCATGCAGCTCATCCTTTGAGTCAGGCGTCTGACTTCCCCTGATCAACTGGTTGTGCTGAGATTGCGTTTGTCAAGAAAGGCAGGATGCATGCTTCTTTTTTTTTTTTTTTTTTTTTTTTTGACAGGCAGAGTGGACAGTGAGAGAGAGAGACAGAGAGAAAGGTCTTCCTTTTGCCGTTGGTTCACCCTCCAATGGCTGCCGCGGCCAGCGCGCTGCGGCCGGCGCACCGCGCTGATCCGATGGCTGGAGCCAGGTGCTTCTCCTGGTCTCCCATGGGGTGCAGGGCCCAAGCACCTGGGCCATCCTCCACTGCACTCCCTGGCCACAGCAGAGGGCTGGCCTGGAAGAGGGGCAACCGGGACAGAATCCGGCGCCCCAACCGGGACTAGAACCCGGTGTGCTGGCACCGCAAGGCGGAGGATTAGCCTAGTGAGCCGTGGCGCCGGCCGCATGCTTCTTTTTTATACTGATTTTTAGAGTAATGAATTTGTTTTCTATGCTCCAGTAAATTCTTATATCATTATGAACCTAGATTTAGAATTAATCCACTGTAGTTATTTTACTTACTGATGCTGAAAATGTCGTATCTGACTGTTAAGAACCTCTTCAAGCTGGTTTCTGAGACCCTTGGACCTGATTCCAGTAGTGTGATAGTCCTTTCACTTTCAGGGTTCCATTATTCTTTTTTTTTTTTTTTTTTTTTTTTAAGATTTATTTATCTATTTGAAAGGCAGAGTTAGAGAGTGAGAGAGAGAGAGAGAGAGATATCTTCCATCCTCTGGTTCACTCGCAAATGGCCACAACTGCTGGAGCTGGGCCGATCAGAAGCCAAGAGCCTGGAGCTCCTTCTGGCCTTCCCACATGGGTGTAGGGCCTAAGGACTTGAGCCATCTTCTGCTGCTTTCTCAGGCACATTAACATGGAGCTGGATCAGAGGTGGAGAAGCCAGGACTCCAACCAGCGCCCATTTGGGATGTCGGCACGGCAGGCAGCGGCTTTACCCACTACCCTATAGCACCAGCCCCTAGGATTCCATTATTCTTGAATTTTTTTTAAATTCTTGAAATTAGTGAGTTAGTAAGTTTGCTTTTAAAAAAAATAAATTATTTATTTATTTATTTGAAAGAGTTACACAGAGGACAGAGAGAGAGAGAGAAGTGTTCCATCCACTGGTTCACTCCCCAGATGGCTGCAACAGCCAGAGCTGCGCCAATCAGAAACCAGGAGCCAGGAGCTTCCTCTAGGTCTTCTCACGCAGGTGCAGGGGCCCAAGAACTTGGGCCATCTGCTGTTGTTTTCCCAGGCCATAGCAGAGAGCTGGATCAGAAGTGGAGCATCTGGGACTTGAACTGGCACCCATATGGGTTGCTGGCACTGCAGGTAGAGGCTTTACCCACCATGCCACAGTGCTGGCCCTGCCTTTTTTTGTGTGTGTGTGGTTTTTTTTTTAAGATTTTTTTCAGGATTATTTATTTATTTGTAAGAGTTATAGAAAGAGAGGGAGAGACCGAGATCTTCCATCTGCTGGCTGTTTCACTCCCCAGATGGCTGCAACAGCCAGGGCTGGGCCAGACCAAAACCAAGAGCCAGGAACCCAAGTCCTTGGGCCATCTTCCAATTCTTTTCCCAGGCCATTAGCAGGGAGGTAGATGGGAAGTAGAGTAGCCAGGACACAAACTGGTGCCCATATGGGATGCTGGCATCACAGTCAGCAACTTAATGCACTATGCCACAATACCAGCCCCTCTTTTTTTTTTTTTTTTTAAGATTTATTTGCTTGTTTATTTGAAAGAGTTACAGAGAGGCAGAAGCAGAGAGAGAGAGAAAGGTAGGTCTTCCATCTGCTGATAGCCACAAAGGCCAGAGCTGTGCCGATCCGAAGCCAGGAGCCAGGAGCTTCTGGGTCTTTCATATGGGTGTAGGGGCTCAAGGACTCGGTCCATCTTCTGCTTTCCCAGGCCATAGTCGAGAGCTGGATTGGAAGAGGAGCAGCTGGAACTTGAACTGGCACCTATATGGCATGTTGGCGCTACAGACTGGGGCTTTAACCCACGGTGCCACGGTGCCAGCCCCCAGTCCCTCATTTTTTTAAAGATAGAATAATAAAAGGTTATTTTGAGGGGATGGCGCTGTGGCACAGCAGGTAAAGCCACTGCCTGCAGTGCTGGCATCGCATATGGGCACTGGTTCAAGTCCTGGCTACTCTACTTCTAATTCAGCTCCCTGCTAAGGCCATGGACAGTAGCAGAAGATGGGCACCTGCACCTACATGGGAGACTCAGAAAAACTTCCTTGTTCCTTGTGGCCATTTGGGGAGTGTGCCAGCAAATGAAAGACCTCTCTCTCTCTGCCTCTGCCTCTCTGTAACACTGCCTTTCAATTACGTAATTAAATCTTTAAAAAAAAAAAAAAAAAGTTCTTTTGGAAAAGATTATGTTATTTTTTTTCAATGTTCCACTCTGGTGAATCCAGAAATTCTTCATTTTAAATAATTTCTCTGTAATAAAAAAATTTTAAGAAAGATAGCTTAACTTTATTTATTTATTTTTTTGACAGGCAGAGTTAGACAGTGAGAGAGACAGAGAAAGGTCTTCCTTTCTGTTGGTTCACCCTGCAGATGGCTGCTACAGCCAGCACGCTGCGCCGATCCAAAGCCAGGAGCCAAGTGCTTCCTCCTGGTCTCCAATGTGGGGGCAGGGCCCAAGCACTTGGGCCATCCTCCACTGCCTTCCTGGGCCACAGCAGAGAGCTGGCCTGGAAGAGGAGCAACCAGAACAGAATCCTGTGCCCCAACCAGGACTAGAACCTGGGGTGCCAGCGCCGCAGGCGGAGGATTAGCCAAGTGAGCCGCGGCGCCGGCCAAGAGAGCTAGCTTAACTCTAAATAATACAATGTGGGTTGCAGAATATAGTTGAGATTAAAAATAGTCACTTCTGGGGGCTGGCGCCATGGCTCATTTGGTTAATCCTCTGCGGTGCTGGCATCCCATATGGGCACCGGGTTCTAGTACCTCCTCTTCCAGTCCAGCTCTCTGCTCTGGCCCAGGAAGGCAGTGGAGGATGGCCCAAGTACTAGGGCCTCTGCACCCGCATGGGAGACCAGGAGGAAGTGCCTGGCTCCCGGCTTCAGATTGGCTAGCTCTGGCTGTAGTGGCCATTTTTGGGGGGGGTGAACCAGTGGAAGGAAAACCCTTCTCTGTCTCTCTCACTGTCTAACTCTATCTAAAGTCACTTTAGTTTTATAATTTATTTCTCTTAGACAATTTCTGAGACTCTCCTAAATTTAGAAAAAATATAGAAACTTTGCTGCCTAAGAGCTTGTTTTTAAAAATTGTTTTAAGCAATGCTTTTTTATCACAGGTGCTGGTCGGATCGAATTATGTTCTGGTTTATTAGAAGGAGGAACCACACCCAGCATGGGTAAGTGTTCCTTTTGCACAGGTTTTTGTCACAGGAGTTTATAGAACTTGGAGGCAACTGATAATCAGTTTCATTGGAATCCTTTATTAATGTTATATTACCTTTGTTATGAGCATTGTATCAGCTGGAATTGCTTATGATTGTAAATCAACAAAATTATAAATTTGATAAAACATGCTTATTCCTCACATATCAAAAATTGGAAGGTAGGAGCTGGTGTTGTGGTGCAGTGGGTTAAGCTACTGCTTGGGACAACCACGTCAGCATGCCTGGGAGACAGTAGATGAAGGCTCTTTCCTTGAGTTTCTGCCATCCAGTGGGAGACCCTGTTGGAATTCTGGCTCCTGTGTTCATCCTGGCCCAGCCTTGGCTGTTGTGGGCATTTGGAGAATGAACCAGTGAAGGAAGATCTTTCCTCTTTCTCTGTCACTCTGCCTTTCAAATAAGTACATAAATCTTTAAAAAAAAAAAAAAAAAAAGTTGAAAGGTACTTTTGTTAATACAGGTTCAGCTGCTCTGCAATAACATCAAGGATCAGGCTTTGACTTTTTGTTTTTCTTTTTGACTTTTGTCTTTATTTTCCCTTTCCTAGTCTTCCTACTATTATAATATATCTTCTACATGTGTCAAAACTCCATGTTATATTGTTATTTTTTGTTTGAGGAGTCAGTTATTTTTATTTTGTTTGAAAGGGGGAGAGAGAGACAAGCAGGGTTCTCATATCCACGGGTTCACTTCCCAGATGCCTGCAACAGTCAAGGCTGAGCCATGCTGAAGCCAGGAGATAGGAACTCAGTCCAAGTCTTCCACATGGGTGGCAGAGATCCAACTTCCTGAGCCATCACCTGCTGCCTCTCAGGGTGTGCATTACTAGGAAGTTGGACTCAAAAGTGGAGCCAGAACTTGAACCCAGGCCTATGATATGGAATGTGGGCATCACAAGTGACAGCTTAACTGCTTTACCAAATGTCTTCTCTCAATTATCTTTTAAAAAGATTTAATTATAAGAAAATAATCACATATTTACCCATATGTAGTTACCATTTCTGTTCATTGTTCTTGTTGATCTGTATTTATCTGGTTTCATTTTCCTTCGCCTGAAATACTTTACCAGTTTTTACAATGCAAGTGTGCTGGTGATGAATTCTTTCACCTTGTGTATCTCTGAAAATATCTCATTTATTTTTTAAAGATATTTTTGCTAGGGACTGGTTTTATGGCACAGCAAGTTAAGCTGCCATTTGGGATGCTGGGATCCCATATCAGACACTGATTCTAGTCCTAGCTGCTTTGCTTCCGATTCAGGTTCCTGCTAATGTGCCTTGGAATGTGGCAGATGATGGCTCAAGTAGTTCAGCCTCTGTCACCCATGTAGGAGATCTGGATGGAGATCCTGGCTCCTGGCGTTAGCTTGGTCCAGCCCTGGTTGTTCTAGCCATTTGGGGAGTGAACCAGTTGATGGAAGCTTTTGCTCTTTCCCTCTCTCTCTGTTGCTCTGCCTTTCAAATAAATATATTTTTAAAAAATTTTTGCCAGGATGGCACTGTGGCATAGTGGGTGAAGCCACTACCTGAAGCGCCGGCATCCCATATGGGCACCGCTTCAAGTCCTGGCTGCTCCACTTCTGATCCAGCTTTCTGCCATGGCCTGGGGAAGCAGTGGAAGATGGCCCAAGGCCTTGGGCACTTGCACCTACATGGGACACCCGGAGGAGGCTCCTCGCTCCTGGCTTTGGATTGGCCCAGCTCTGGCCATTGTAGCCATTTGAGGAGTGAATCAGCAGATAGAAGACCCCTCTCTCTCTCACTCTCTCTGTCTCTCTCTGTCTCTCTCTGTCTCTCTCTGTCTCTGTCTCTACCTCCACCTCTCTGTAACTCTGCCTTCCAAATAAATAAATAAATCTTTAAAAAAATTTTTTTGCTAGAAATAGAATTCTAGGCTGACAGGCCTTTTTTTGCTTTCAGTTCTTTGAAGATTTTTTTTCCTTCATTGTAGTCTTATTTGTATTGTTCCTATAAGAAATATATCATACATATCTTTGTTTTTCTCCATGTAATATGTGTGTTTTCTCTGGTTGCTTTTAAGAGTTTTTGTTTATTCCTGGTTTTGAATAATTAGGTTATGATGAAACTGAGCAGTTTTCTTTATGTTTCTTGGACCTGTGTATTTATACTTTTTATCACATTTTAGCATTCAGTCTCCTCCACTCCTTTACGAGACTTCAGTTAGACTTAGATAAGACTGATAGAAATCGTTTTTGTTTTTGTTTGTTTGTTTGTTTTTGACAGGCAGAGTGGACAGTGAGAGAGAGAGAGAGAGAGACAGAGAGAAAGGTCTTCCTTTGCCATTGGTTCACCCTCCAATGGCCGGCGCGCTGCGGCCAGCACACCGGGCTGATCCGAAGGCAGGAGCCAGGTGCTTCTCCTAGTCTCCCATGGGGTGCAGGGCCCAAGTACCTGAGCCATCCTCCACTGCACTCCCGGGCCACAGCAGAGAGCTGGCCTGGAAGAGGGGCAACCAGGACTAGAACCCGGTGTGCCGGTGCCGCAAGGCGGAGGATTAGCCTAGTGAGCCGCGGCCAGCATTTTCTTTATCTATTTGTTAATAGACACATTTATTCATTGTTGATGTATACTTAGGTTGACTTCATTTCTTGGCCATTACAAATAGAACTATAATAAAGATGGGAGTATAGATCTCTCCTCATTTTGGGTGGATATATGCCCAGTAGTGAGATTACTGGATCATAAGGTAGCCCTATTTTAATTTAAAGATATTAAACAATCTGATGCCAATAGTTTTGACAACTTTATGTGAAATGCACTTATTTCTTCAAAATACAAATCCAGAAAAATGACGTGGAAAGAACATTTTGAATATCTTTTGTGAATGTGTTTAAAATTAAATTCAGTTTTAAAATCTTCTCCAAGAGATAACGAAAATCTGGGGCCGGTGCTGTGGTGTAGCAGGTAAAGCAGCCTGCAGTGTTAGCATGCCATATGGGTGCTGGTTCAAGTCCCAGCTGCTGCACTTGTGTTATGGTCTGGGAAAGCAGCAGAGGATGGCACAAGTGCTTGGGCCCCTGCACTCATGTGGGAGACCCGGAAGATGCTCTTGGCTTTGGATTGGCCCAGCTCCAGCTGTTGCAGCCATTTGGGGAGTGAACCAGCGGATGGAAGACCTCTCTGTCTCTCTCTCTGCCTTTGCCTCTCTTTAACTCTGCCTTTCAAATAAATAAGTAAATAAATCTTAAAAAAAAAAAAAGAGAGAGAGATAATTAAAATCCTAAACAGTTTCACTGGTGAATTCTGAACATTTAAAGAAGAAATAATAGCACAATAATATGTTCTTTCAGAAAAGAGAGACAGATCAAACACTTTTGAACTCCTTTTAAGAGACAATATAACCCTGATGTCAAAACTTAGTACAAGAAAAAAAATGACAAAGTGACAGAACGATAGACCTAATTCATAAGGTGAAAGATACCTTAAGTAAATATTTAACAGATTCGGAAAGTAAAAGTAAAATATGAATCATATGTTTTTCTTCTCTTTGTTTTGTATATCTGTTACACTATTGAGATTTTTTATTTTGTGTGTTTTCTGAATGATCATTATCATCCTTTCATTTCTAATGTACGACTCCTTGAAGCATTTCTAATAGTGATGACCTCCTTCAGTTTTTGGCTGTCATGGAAAGTCTATTTCTCATTCATTTCTGTAGGATAGCTTTGCTGAGTACAGTATTCCTGGCTGGCAATTTTTTTCTTTTAGGACTTTGATTATTTCATGTCATTCTTTCCTGGCCTGTAAGAGTTCAGCTGATAAGTCCAGTGTTACTCTAATGTGTATTCTTTTGTAGATGACACAATGCTTTTCTCTTACTGTTTTAAAATTTCTCTGTCTCATATTTTTGACACGTATCTTTTCCAAGATTTGGAAAAATTTTCCGCAATTGTTTCACTGCATAAATTATTTTTAAAAGATTTATTTATTTATTTGAAAGGTAGTCACAGAGAGGCAGAGGCAGAGAGAGAGGTCTTCCATCTGCTGGTTCACTCCCCAGACAGCTGCAACAGCCAGAGCTGAACCAATCTGAAGCCAGGAGCCAGGAGCTTCCTCCAGGTCTTCCTACGTGGGTGCAGGGGCCCAAAGACTTGGGCCATCATCTACTGCTTTCCCAGTCCATAGCAGAGAGCCAGATCGGAAGAGGAGCATCCAGGTCTCAAACCGGCGTCCATATGGGATGCCGGCACTTCATACCAGGTGCCTCAGACCAGGGCCACAACGCCAGCCTCACTGCATAAATTTTTCTATGCTTTCTCCTTCTCTTCTTCCAGAACACCCATAGTGCAAATGTTTGCTTGCTTAATGATAAGCCTTGAAAGTTTTCTTTTTTCTTTTTAACTTCTCTAACTTCCTCATCTTCCTCCTCCTCCTTCTGATTGATTCTTTTTTTATGATAGAGATTTCTTTGCTCAATCTCTTAATCATATCATGAGTTATGTTCCTAATGTCATTGAGTTGCCTTTATTCTCTTTTATCTCCTTAAGGTGGTTATTTTGAATTCTTTGGCAGTTCATCAATTTCTCTTTCTTTTTGGTCTGTTCCTTTGGAGGCAGTATGCTATTTTTTTCATGCTGCTAGTGACCTCACTTTGATGGTTTGTGCATCTGATGGGTCACTTAGTTTTGGCAATTTTATAGGGTGACTTTTGTGGTATGTCCTAGGGTATTGGTTGGGTATGCTGTGTTGGCTTTGGTTTTAAATAGAACTATCATTAATTGGAAAGGAGAAACTGGATCTTGGGGACTATACTGGCAGAACATTGAGCATGGTAGTTAATACAGTTTCAACTATCACATACCAGTTAAAGGTTTCTGAGTCATAGGATTTTTGTTGAGTCAGCTGACAAGTGCTTTTAAATCGCAGTGTCTTCTATTTTCGAACTCATTCTTTTTAACTCTTACTTTTACTACTACTTCTCTTCTACCATATACATATTTTTCTCAGTGTTCTCTTTAGATCATCTTTCTCTGGTTTCTTCAGTTAACTCTTGCATTTCTTCTAGATGTAATGTACAAGAACAGATATAAATGATCAGTAATATTTTATTGACTTCCTAGAGCTTTTGTTTGGCTCCCATTTGAATTTTTTTTTAAAGATTTATTTATTTATTTGAAACTCAGAGTTACACAGAGAGAGAGAGAGAGAGGTCTTCCATCCACTTGTTCACTCCCCAATTGGCTGCAATAACCAGAGCTGTGCTGATCCAAAGCCAGGAGCTTCCTCCAGGTCTCCCATGCCGGTGCAAGGGCCCAAGGACTTGGGCCATTTTCTACTGCTTTCCCAGACCATAGCAGAGAGCTGGATGGGAAGTGGAGCAGCCAGGTCTCGAACTGGCACCCATACGGGATGCCATCGCTTCAGGCCAGGGCGTTAACCCGCTGCGTCACAGCACCAGCCCCTGAATTTTTTTTTAAGAATGATTTATTTATTTATTTGAAAGGTAGAGTTATAGAGAAAGAGAGAGGCAGAGAGGGAGAGAGTTCTTCCATCTGCAGGTTCTCTCCCCAGTTGGCTACAATGGCCAGAGCTGCGAAGATCCAGAGCCAGGAACCTCCTGTGGTCTCCCACCCTGGTGCAGGAGCCCAGTGACATATGCCATCTTCTGCTTTCCCAGGCCATAACAGGGAGGTGGATCGAAAGTGGAGCAGCCGGGGCTGGCGCCATGGTGCACTGGGTTAATCCTCTGCCTGCGGTGCCGGCATCCCGTGTGGGCGCCGGTTCTAGTCCCGGTTGCTTCTCTTCCGGTCCAGCTCTCTGCTGTGGCCTGGGAGGGCAGTGGAGGATGGCCCAGGTGCTTGGGCCCCTGCACCCGTGTGGGAGACCAGGAGGAGGTACCTGGCTCCTGGTTTCAGATCGGCTTAGCTCCGGCCGTTGTGGCCATTTGGGGAATGAAGTAGCGGAGGGAAGACCTTTCTCTGTCTCTCTCTCACTGTCTGTAACTCTACCTGTCAAATAAATAAATAAAATCTAAAAGAAAAGAAAGAAAGTGGAGCAGCCAGGACTTGAACCTGTGCCAATATGGAATGTTGGCACTGCAGGCGGCAGCTTTACCCGCTACACCACATTGCCTGCCCCTCCCATTTGAATTTAAGTCTGCTTTCTATTCTTATAGGTCTCCTTCAAATAGTGAAACAGAGTGTTCAGATCCCAGTTTTTGTGATGATTCGGCCACGTGGAGGTGATTTTTTATATTCAGATCGTGAAATTGAGGTGATGAAGGCTGACATTCAGCTTGCCAAGCTTTATGGTGCTGATGGGTTGGTATTTGGTGCATTAACTGAAGATGGACAGATTGACAAAGAGCTGTGTATGTCCCTTATTGGTAAGAATTTGTAGCTCTAATGATTATAACTATGCTCCCAATAGACAGGAATGTCGTCACAAAACTGACGTCTCAGTCATCCTGCAGGCACTTACATTAACTTATTTTAAATAGTAGTTAATTAGATATATAGAGGGCAGATATGATACAGCCTGCCTCACTTTCCTTAGTTGGTGGAGGTCAGATTCTGCTACTGTTTCTATAGAGTTTAATGGAAATTTACCTTGGTTCCTTTAGCAGGGACCAAAAATTTCTGAAGTTAGTACAGTTGGTGAAGATAGGAAGATGTGGAGAGGGCAGGATCAAACTACCTGTATTACTTGGCCAAAGTGTTTTTTGAAGCTTCTCAGAGGGGCAAGTAATAAATACAATCCTTATAGATGCCGGCTCATATCATTTTTATTTGTGTCTCTAAGGAGTAGATGACCATTAATACAAAAATCAGAGGCCAGTGTAAGATAGTACTTGAATATTGTTAGACTGTCATTTTATTATTATTTTAGTTTACTATCTCTATTTCTTAGAAGAAAATGCAGAGATGTTTCCCTAACATGGAAAATTCTATATTATATATAGTAACCAGTGATGACCTCTTTGTTCATGTTGTATATGGCTTTCTTTTTATAGCTCTTTGCCGTCCTCTGCCAGTCACTTTCCACCGAGGTGAGTCATTTCCATTTTAGAAGTTCTGTTTATTGGTGTCAAATTTCTAATTTCACCAAATGCCACAACCTTTTCACGGTACATAACTCTATAGTGTTATAGTGTTGCCAGTTGGTTTCTTAGATCTTGGGACTAGAAGTTGTAAATTTAGAGATGTGTAATTTCTTAAGAAATTTTAAGCATTAGTTATGAGAAGTTGTTAAAATTAGGTGGTGGTTGGGGATATAATAGAGAGGGGAAAGATAAGCACTCCCTGTAGTTGCATGTATCACAGCATTGCAAGTAAGAAACCTGAGAGTCATTTTAACTAGATTGTTTTAGGTCATGTGCGGCCCCCAAAACATTAAATCACTGTAGCTAGTGAAATGAAATGTTCTGCCTGGCTTAAACCAGATAAAATCATTTCTGGAGCTAGGAGTAAGGTAGTTTTCTCAGATATAGACTTTCTGAGGGGAGAGAGGGTGACATCTGAAGAATTAGGTGTGATTAGGAAGGGGATAGAAAAAAATAGATGCTAGTCAGTGGACAGATGTCCACCATGGTGTGCAAGATTACTGATGATTATTGATAGCTTATCTGCTTCATATAAAGAATTCTTTCCTATCTATAAATCAGGTAGTTGTAATTTCCTTTGGCTAAGCCTTGGAAAAGAGAGGAATTCATGTCCGTTTTTCCTTCAGAGGACACTGCCATTGCATATGAAAAGAAATGTCTTTGGTTCAGGTTTCTTTTCGACTTGCTTTGTTTGAGAAGTTGTTGAATGTTTTACTTCCTTTTGTGTAAGTCTTCAAATATTAGGCCAAGAATGAATATCAGCATCTGCTTCTGTTTGTAGAAATAAAGTAATTTTTATCCTCATAAACTGCTTTCTTTGACTTGCTATTAGCAGTGCTTCTTACAACCTAGCACTAACTAAAAGATGGTAGATTGCTCAAAAGTCAGCATCTTGAGGCTTAGCCACAAAACACCATTTTTTTTCTTTAAAGATTTATTTATTTATTTGAAAGGCAGAGTTACGCAGAGAGAGGAGGATAGGCAAAAGAGAGAGAGAGGTATTCCATCTTCTGATTTCACTCCCCAAATGGCCGCAACGGCCAGAGCTGTGCTGATTCAAAGCCAGGAGCCAGGAGCTTTTTCCAGGTCTCCCACATGGGTGTAGGGGCCCAAGGACTTGGGCCATCTTCCACTGCTTTCCCAGTCCATAGCAGAGAGCCGGATCAGAAGTGGAGCAGCCGGGATTCAAACCGGCGCCAATATGAGATGCTGGCACTGCAGGCGGTGGCTTTACTTGCTAGGCCATAGCATCGGCCCCACCATTTTTTAAAAAAGAGTTATTTGTTTACTTGAGAGGCAGAGTTACAGAGAACGGGAGAGACTGAGAGAGAGGTATTCCATTTGCTGGTTCACTCCCCAAATGGCTGCAACAGCCAGAGCTGGGCCGATCTGAAGGCAGGAATCAGGAGCTTTTTCTGGTTTCCCACATGGGTGCAAGCACTTGGGCCATCTTCCACTGTTTTTCTAGTCCATCAGCAGGGAGCTTGTTTGGAAGTAGAGCAGTCAGGACTTGAACCAGTGCCCATATGGGTGCTGGTGCCGCAGGCAGAGGTTTAACCTACTCCTGCACAGTGCTGGCCCCACAAAACACCATTTTTAACTGTGGAATGTAATTGTTAGTGAACATGTACTTGAAAAAAACGTAGTTTAAAATTTTGACATGCGGGCGGGCGCCGCGGCTCACTAGGCTAATCCTCCGCCTTGCGGCGCCGGCACACCGGGTTCTAGTCCCGGTCGGGGCGCCGGATTCTGTCCCAGTTGCCCCTCTTCCAGGCCAGCTCTCTGCTGTGGCCCGGGAGTGCAGTGGAGGATGGCCCAAGTGCTTGGGCCCTGCACCCCATGGGAGACCAGGAGAAGCACCTGGCTCCTGGCCTCGGATCGGCGCCACGCTGGTGCCAGCCACAGCAGCCATGCGATATAATTTAAAAAGTAATCCAGATATATAGAATATATTTTTCTGTTCTTAAACTAAGAAAATGACTTAGTTTCTGTTTTCTTTCCTACAGTAAATTTACAAAAATATTTTCATGTTTTCAAAATTTGTAGAGTTTTTACATTATGCTAAGTTCCACACTTTTTTCACTCATGTGTTTTAATGAGTTAGTATTATGGTAGAATCACTGGTAAGAACATGCTGCCACTGAAAAAGGAATCTCTCTGGTAGATTTAGCTGCCTACAGACATGACAAGGTATAAAGAAGAGGGCTGTCACAGAGGACCATTAGCACCTAATCCACTCTAGATCAGAATTTCCATTTCATGTAGTGATGCTGAGAACCAAAGCAGAAGTATTAGATCTTCTGTTTCAAGATTCCTGGTGTTTTGTGCTCTGATGGTTCTCAGCGTGGGGCGAAGGCTATCAAAAGTGGGGTAGAACTAAAACCTCGTATAGTTTGTTGATCTGTACTTTGAGTATGTTGGTAAATGGATTAGTACAAAATATTAGCCAAGATGAGAATGTGAACCAAGGCCTTTTGTAGATCTAGTGAGTGTACTGTTTCATTTACATAGTCCAGTTTATCTGAAGGCTTAGAGCACTTACCTAAGTGTGAGTCACTTGACTGTCACCATTACAATCTGAGTGCTACCTGCACAAATTTATTGATAATACTTTTCTTTAAATAAAATCTTAAATAAATTTATTTTAAAGATAAATATAATTACTGAAAATTGGAAACTTTCACTTCTTACCTGAATTTAAGTAAATATACTTACTAAAATGCATGCTAGTTGCATGCAAGCTATGGTATGCTGAAGAATGGCTCTTGGGGGAAAAAAGAGCTGTGATTTGTAGCATTTTATGATTTCTGTAGTTTATACACTGCCTTGACATTTCTGATTGCCAGTGGATTAACAATCTGACTTGCAAAATTCCTGAATATTTAATTGTTGTCTATGGCAAAAGCTAGATCTAGCAGACTGCCATCCTGCATTTGTAAATATCCATTCAAAATTCAAGTCAGTTTTATTTCTTTCAGCCTTTGACATGGTTCATGATCCAATGGCAGCCCTAGAGACCCTCTTAACCTTGGGATTTGAGCGAGTATTGACCAGTGGATGTGACAGTTCAGCACTAGAAGGACTACCCTTAATAAAGCGACTCATAGACGAGGTACATGCAATTCCTTTTCTTTCTTAGAAAAATCCTATTATTCTGTTCAGCTAGATTGTGAAAGTAAATATTACTGCCTTTGTGGTTATTCCGCAGAAAAAAGCAAGCAGACAGTAGTATATTTATGTAATTATTCTTGCACATGAGCGTGTTATAGTAACCAAGGCTGTTAAGATAAAATTATAGACGGTGCTTAAGGATGTGATCCAACTTGGATAACAACAACAGATTTTACCTTTTCTGTGCCATCAGCACTACATCATTTTTTAAAAAATCTTTCATTTTTAATTAATTATTTTTAATTTTTTAGAAAGCTTTTATTTAATAAATATAAATTTTATAGGTACAACTTTTGGTATATAATGGTTCTTCCCCCCCATACCCACCCTCCCACCCCCAAACTGTCCCACTTCCTACTCCCTCTCCCATCCCATTCTTCATTAAGATTCATTTTTAATTATCTTCATATACAGAAGGTCAACTCTATACTAAGTAAAGATTTCAACAGTTTGCACCCACACAGACACACAAAGTATGAAGTACTGTTTGGAGACAAGTTTTACCATTAATTCTCATAGTACAACTCATTCAGGACAATGGCCCTACACGTAGAGCAAGTGCACAATGACTCCTGTTGTTGATTTCACAGTTGATACTCTTACTTATGACGTCGGTGATCATCCAAGGCTTTTGTCATGAGCTATGGAAGCCTTTTGAGTCCACATACTCCGTCAGTATTTAGAAAAGGCCATAAACAAAATGGAAGTTCTCTCCAGAGAGAAGTACATCCTTCTTTGATGGCCCCTTCTTTCTACTGGGATCTCACTCACAGAGATCCTTCGTGTAGATCATTTTTTGCCACAATGTCTTGGCTTTCCATTCCTGAAATGCTTTCATGGGCTTTTCAGCCAGATCTGAATGCCTTAAGGGCTGATTCTGAGATTAGAGTGCTATTTAGGTCATTTGTCATTCTGTGAGTCTGCTGTGTGGCCTGCTTCCCATGTTGGATCATTCTCTCCTCTTTCTTTCTTTCTTTCTTTCTTTCTTTCTTTCTTTCTTTCTTTCTTTCTTTCTTTCTTTCTTTCTTTCTTTCTTTCTTTCTTTCTTTCTTTCTTTTTTTTTTTTTTGGACAGGTAGAGTGGACAGTGAGAGAGAGAGACAGACAAAAAGGTCTTCCTTTGCCATTGGTTCCCTCCAATGGCCGCTGCGGCCGGCACACTGCGCTGATCCGATGGCAGGAGCCATCGGATCCTGGTCTCCCATGGGGTGCAGGGCCCAAGTACTTAGGCCATCCTCCACTGCACTCCCGGGCCACAGCAGAGAGCTGGCCTGGAAGAGGGGCAACCGGGACAGAATCCGGCGCCCCGACCGGGACTAGAACCCAGTGTGCCGGTGCCGCTAGGCGGAGGATTAACCTAGTGAGCCGTGGCGCCGGCCTCTCCTTTTTATTTCTATCCGTTGTTATTACCAGACACTTGGTCTTATTTATGTGATTCCTTTTGACACTTAATCCTATCTATATGATCAGTTACACACTTAATAAGATCACTTTAACATGTAAGATGGCATTAGTACCTGCCAATTTAATGGAGTCCCATAGCAAATTTTTAGTTTTACCCTTAGGTGTAAATCTGTGGAAACATTTGTCAAAATGAGCATTACATCAATTTTAAGCCATATCTTTTCATTTTAGTCTGTTAGTATACTCAGAGGATCCCATATAGAATTTATGAGGTAATCATCATCTTGAGGTAAATTCCAAATATAAAAAATATCCTTTTTCTTCTTCCCACCTGTTAGTGTAGGAGAAAATATGTTTTTCTCTTGTATGACTTCCTAGTGAGCTGGCATGATTTGTAGAGCAGTTAGAGAATGGCTTTGTAATTGTAATATCTTTTTCTGAGGCATTCTAAGTCTAGACTTTGAGATGAGAGTTTTCTATGTTTGAGACTTAGATTAGACACCTACTTGCTGTGTGATGTTGAGTAAGTCACTAACCTTTAAGCCTCTGTTTCTCAAATGTGAAATTGAGATGTGTTTAATGTTTCCTTTGCAGAGTTTCTCTAAGAATTGGTAAAGATATGTAAGACTCTTAGCACAATGCTTGGCATACAGTAGTAGGTCTTAATACATAATTTCTACTATTATCACTGCTATTACAATGTTACTTAGTGTTCCTATGTAGATTCTATTTTTAATTTTCTGTAGCCATGGAAATAATTTTCAGAGATTTAGCCTAAGACATTTATACCTGCATGAGGACCCAACCCGTCATGCCTGATGGTGGGAGGCAGTAGCTCCCCTTCATTTTGCAGCTGGAGAGTTAGATAGTTGCCCAAGAAAGCACGATTAGAAATACTGATATCAGGAGACTACTGTATACTCATCTTTTATGAATGCTTTCAGTTATCCTGAACACTTTGATTCCATCATTATTCTTGGAAAAACTTCTCAGTATTGGAAACAGACTTGACGTGATTGTGCATCTATTCTGTTTTTCTAACTGCTGTCAGTCTAGTATTGTATTTAGTAATGAAACCTAATGCATCCTCCAAGAGGAGTTAATCATCACATAAGGTAGCCAGGTTTTTGAAATGTTGCATCTACTCTCATCTACCATGGCTAAGAGTTTTCAGTAGAAATGGAGTTTCATCCATTTGAGTAACTAGTCCCCAGATCACTATAGTTTCTAGTTTTTTAGGCACATGGCTTGGAATATTTCCTATTTCCCTGGATTGGGAAAGACCAAGGCAGGTATGGCCCATATCCTGTACACTGGGAGTGACCGTTGGTTACATGGCTGGCCTTGTTATTTCACCACTCTGAATATACTGGAATGGAAAGCAACTTATATACCGGAATAATTAGTTGGAACAAAGGGAGAAGATATTTCTTCATACAGATTCCATTATGGCTCTGCAGAAACATTTTTGGTAAAGTCAAGTCTTTCCATGTATAATATTGTGTAACAACATGATGTGATTGTGGTTTTTTAAACTCTGAAACCCCTGGAAGATTGTGTCTTATAGTTGAAATGAAGTATTTATAACAAAAAAGAAAAAAAATTTAACTTAAGGATCTGATGTGAGTTTGCCACTCTGGGACTTAACTGATTTTACAAATATATATTAAATGTATATTGGATTGGGGCAAGGGGAGGCAGGGATTTGGCCTAGCATTTAAAACACTGGTTAAGGTGCCTGTGTGCCATACTGCTGTCCTTGGGTTTGAGACCTGGCTCCAGCTCCTGACTCCAGCTTCCTACTTTCATAGGCCCTGGGAGGTAGCATGTGATGGCCCAAATACTTAGATCCCTGCCTCCCATGTGGGAGACCTGGATTGAGTTCCAAGCTCCTGACTTGGGACTGGCCCAGCCGTGGTCATTATGAGCATTTGGAGTGTGAATCAGATGGGAATTCATTCTGACTCCTGCTCTAACTCTCTTCCTGTCTCTCTGTGAAATGCATACATACATACTTACTTACTTACTGTATATCTGGGGTATGCATTTTGTGCAGTGGTTTAGATACTTCCTGGGATGCCCACATCCCATATCAGAGTGCCAGGGTTCAGGACTTGACTCTACTCCCAATTCCAGCTTCCTGTTAATGTGCACCCTGTTTAGCAACAGGTGATGACTCAAGTACTTGAGTCTCTGCCACTCACATGGGAGACCCAGATTGAGATCCTGGCTCCTGGCCTGGTTATTGCGGGGTGAACCAACAGATAGGGTTAATATCGTCCCCCCTCCCACTCCCCTGATTTTCAATAAAAGCAACTTTTTTTTTTTTGAAAGGCAGAGCGGACAGTGAGAGAGAGAGACAGAGAGAAAGGTCTTCCTTTGCCGTTGGTTCACCCTCCAATGGCCGCCGCGGCCGGCGCACTGCGGCCGGTGCACTGCGCTGATCCGAAGGCAGGAGCCAGGTGCTTCTCCTGGTCTCCCATGGGGTGCAGGGCCCAAGCACTTGGGCCATCCTCCACTGCACTCCTAGGCCACAGCAGAGAGCTGGCCTGGAAGAGGGGCAACCAGGACAGAATCCAGCGCCCCTACCGGGACTAGAACCTGGTGTGCCAGCGCCGCTAGGCGGAGGATTAGCCTGTTGAGCCATGGCGCTGGCCACATATGCTTCTTAAAAAGTTACTTTTATTAGCACACCGGTTCTAGTCCCGGTCGGGGCGCCGGATTCTGTTCTGGTTGCCCCTCTTCCAGGCCAGCTCTCTGCCATGGCCCAGGAGTGCAGTGGAGGATGGCCCAAGTGCTTGGGCCCTGCACCCCATGGGAGACCAGGAAAAGCACCTGGCTCCTGGCTTCGGATCAGCACGGTGTGCCGGCCGCAGCGTGCCAGCCGCGGCGGCCATTGGAGGGTGAACCAACGGCAAAAAGGAAGACCTTTCTCTGTCTGTCTGTCTCTCTCTCTCTCACTCACTGTCCACTCTGCCTGTCAAAAAAAAAAGAAGCATATGTATTATGGAGCTGGCATTGTGAAGCAGGTTAAGCTGCAGCCTGCGACATCCATTTCCCGTATGAGTGTCAGTTCAAGTCCTGGTTGTACCATTTCCAATCCAACTCACTGCTAATATGCCTGGCAAAGGTGGGGATGATGGCCAAGTGGTTGGGCCCTTGCCTTACATGTGGGAGACAGAGATGAAGCTCCTGACTCCTCGCTTTGGCCTGGCCCAGCTGGCTGTTGAAGCTATCTGGAGAGTAACCAGTGGATGGAGATTCTCTCTCTCTTTCTCTATCTCTGTGTGTGTGTGTGTTGTTTCTTCTCTCTCTCTAACTCTTCTTTTCAAAATAAATAAATATATATAAAAGATTCATTTATATATATGAATGATAGAGGGCATTTGTACTATGACCACCAAGTAGTAGATGTGTATACGTAGTCACTGTCCATACAGTGTAGTATTCAACACATACTTTTAATAGGGTCGGCAACTTTTTTTTTTGACAGGCAGAGTTAGAGAGAGAGAGAGAGAAAGGTCTTCCTTTGTCCATTGGTTCACCCCCCAAATAGCCGCTACAGCCGATGCACTGTGCCGATCCGAAGCCAGGAGCCAGGTGCTTCCTCCTGGTCTCCCATGTGGGTGCAGGGGCCCAAGCACTTGGGCCATTCTCCACTGCGCTCCCGTGCCACAGCAGAGAGCTGGACTGGAAGAGGAGCAACCAGGACAGAATCCGGCGCCCCAACTGGGACTAGAGCCTGGGGTGCCAGCGCCACAGGCGGAGGATTAGCCAAGTGTGCCACGGCGCCAGCCAGGTCAGCAACTTGTTAACAGTGTACTGTTTTAAAAAGGTGCTAGTGGGGGGCCGACGCTGTGGCATAACGGGTAAAGCTGCTGCCAAAAGTGCCAGCATTCCATATGGACTCCGCTTGGAGTCCCGACTGCTTCACTTCCGATCCAGCTCTCTGCTATGGCCTAGGAAAGCAGTGGAAGATGGCCCAAGTCCTTGGGCCCCTGCACCCGCATGGGGACCTGGAAGAAGCTCCTGGCTTCAGATCAGCGCAGCTCTGACCATTGCAGTCCATTGGGGAGTGAACCAGCAGACGGAAGACCTCTCTCTCTCTGTCTCTCCTTCTCTTTCTGTGTAACTCTGACTTTCAAATAAATAAATAAATCTTTAAAAAAAAAAAAAGGTGCTAGCAGGAACATTGGTGAGGAATTCCAGATTTAGGGAATGGAGGTTGGCAGTAGTTAGAGAAAACTTCTTAGAAGAGAAGACATCCAAACTGCGTTTGAAGGATATTTGAAAGTCATCCATGTAGAAATGGGGAGTAGGGAGAGGGAGGAAATTGTCCCGTGAAGAAGTAGCATATGTAAAAGCCTAGTCAGGGGTGGGTTTTAGGCAAGTAGTCAAGATTCCACTTGGGATGCTCTCAGCACATATCAGAGTGCAAGTTCAAGTCCTGGCTCCTATTTCTAGTCTATTTTTCTGCTAATACTCACTCTGGGAGGCAGCAGGTGATAGTTGAAGTCTTTGGTCCCTACCACCCATGTGGGAGACCTGTTTTGCATTTTGAGCTCCTGGTTTCAGCCTGGCTATTAGGAGAGGGAACCAACAGATGGAAGATCTCTTTTTGTCTGCCTCTTTATACCTGTTTCAAATAAAATGAAAAGAAATTGAAATTAAAAAATTCTAGGAACAAAAAGCAAGTATAATTTTAAGACACTGAAGAATAACCAAAATGTTGAATGTTACAATGGTACCCAGAACCTTGAAAACCTTATTAAAATGTTTGTGTTTTATCCTTGGTATGCTGAGGAAGCCTGAAGCATTTTAAAATAGAAGAATTGATGAGTCAAGTTTCTGGCTTATAAAGGTTACTCATTAAGGAATAAAGAATAAGATATAATTGCCATAGTAATGTATTACACTTCAAAATATCCGTGTGTGTGTCTGTGTGTGTGTTGAGTAATTTGTGTTTTTTATGTTAATTATAAGTAAACAGAAAGAGCTGGGGTAAATATTTTCATAGACTACTGTTAATTCTTGAAGTGACTACCTAACAGTATAATACACTTATTAAAGCATAGACTTGGGGAATAGAATTCTGGTTTAAATCCTGTCTTTGTACCTTGTTGACAATGACCTTAGACAAATTATCTAACTATCCTAAACCTCAATTTCCTCAACTGAAAACTTGGAATAATAAAAGTATAATTTATCAGCCGGCGCCGCAGCTCAATAGGCTAAACCTCTGCCTTGCGGCGCCGGCACACCGGGTTCAAGTCCCGGTCAGGTTGCCGGATTCTGTCCTGGCTGCCCCTCTTCCAGGCCAGCTCTCTGCTGTGGCCCAGGAGTGCAGTGGAGGATGGCCCAAGTGCTTAGGCCCTGCACCCCATGGGAGACCAGGAGAAGCACCTGGCTCCTGCCTTCGGATCAGCGCGGTGCGGCGGCCATTGGAGGGTGAACCAACGGCAAAGGAAGACCTTTCTCTCTGTCTCTCTCTCTCACTATCCACTCTGCCTGTCAAAAAAAAAATATATATATATATATATAATTTATCTTGTTTTGGAACGCCTCTACTTGGAACAAGTTAATACAACATTTCCCCCATCAATGGAAGTAATCAAGCTCTCTAAAAACATTAATAAAGGATTTATTCAGAGCAGAATATGAGTAACATAGATAGGCATGGGAAACGCAAGCTCTGCAGGTTTTAAGGACTCTTAAAGTGTTCCAGTGTGGTCAAATTTTAGTCAAAATTTATATAATCCGTGACAGTAAATTTTCCTTTTTTTTTTTTTTTTTTTTTTTTTTTTTAGGATTTTATTCCTTTACTTGAAAGGTAGAGTTACAGAGAGGCAGAGGCAGCGAGAGAGAGAGGGAGAGAGGTCTTCCATCCACTGCACTGGTTCACTCCCCAGCTGGCCACAATGGCTGAGCTGGGCCAATCTGTAGCCCAGAGATTCTTCCAGGTCTCCCACATGGGTGCAGGGGCCCAAGGACTTGGGCCATCTTCCACTGCTTTCCCAGGTCATAGCAGAGAGCTGGATTGGAAGTGGAGCATCTGGGAGTTGAACTGGCGCCCATATGGGATGCTGGCACTGCAGATGGTGGCTTTACCCTCTGTGCGACAGTGCGAGCCCATAAATTTTCCTTTATTATTACACAGTAAACACCAGAAAAAGTGTTTTAGATAAGCAGGAGCAGTTTTCTCACAGTTTGGAGGTTATTGTTTTGTTTTCTTCATTTTATTTATTTGAAAGGCAGAGTTACAGAGAGGTAGCAAGAGCGAGAGCGAGAAAGATCTTTCACCTGCTAGTTCACTCCCCAAGTGGTGGCAATGGCTGGAGCTGGGCTGATCTGAAGGCAGGAGCCTGGAACTTCTTCCAGGTCTCCCACGTGGGTGCAGGGGCCCAAGGAGTGCTGAGGACTATTGAGATCTGGAGCCCTGTAGATCTGGCCTGACCTGTGTACCACTCCCTTAATTTAATGTGTTAATCTTTGGTAAAAACTTGACTGGTAATCAGAGAAACTGAACTAAAAAAGCACAGCTAGTGTCTGATAAAGTCCACATGAAAGGTTTTAGGGATAGGGACTTGGTTTCATTGCTACCTAAAATTTTTATTATACGAATATATTTGTCTTTCTTGACTAGGTAAGCTCTCTGGGAGTGGGAACTTATTTTTGTTCACCGTATGAAAGAAGAAAAACTTTTATTCTGCCTTCTTTGTCTTTTTTTTTTTTAAGATTTATTTATTTGAAAGAGTTACCTCTCCTCTCTGTGTAATTCTGACTTTCAGATGAATAAATAAATCTTAAAAAAAAAAAAGGTTTATTTATTGTTTATTTATTTGAAAGGCAGAGCTACAGAGAAGCAGAGGCAGAGATAGAGAGGTCTTCCATCTGCTGGTTCACTCCCCAAGTGGCCACCATGGCCAGAGCTGTGCCAATCCGAAGCCAGGAGCCAGGAGCTTCTTCCAGGTCTCCCACGCAGGTGCAGAGGCCTAAGCACTATGGTCATCTTTCACTGCTTTCCCAGGCCATAGCAGAGAGCTGGATCAGAAGTAGAGTAGCCAGGACTTGAACTGGTGCCCATATGGGATGCTGGCACCACAGGTGGCGGCTTTAACTGCCATACCATACCACAGCACTGGCCCTGGGCCTATGATTTTTAATTGATATGCTAAACTAGGGAATTTAGTACATTATGCTATGCTCTTTTTTTCCCCTAGTGAAATCTTTTTTATATTCATTTACATCTACCCCTTTGCATACTAGCAACTTAAATTAGTATTATTTTTCAGTAAGGCTTTTCTTAACGTGGTATGCTTATTCAATATTTATATTATATCATCCTATTCATTCTGTTCATAATAGTATGAGTCTTTAAAGCAATATGATAAAATTTCTTTCTGAGTAGAAAGTTAATTTGCTGGACATCTTACTTGCTCAAGATCCAAAGAAATCGATAGATAGATTAATTAATTTGAAAAGCAGAGCTGCAGAGAGAGATCTTCCATCCACTCGTTTGTTCCCCAAACGGCTGTAAAGCCAGGGCCGGACCAGGCCACAGTCAGGAACCAGGAACTCTACCCTGGTCTCCCACATGAGTGGCAGGGGCACAAGTTCTTGGGCCATCATCTGCTGCCTTCCCAGGCACATTAACAGGGAACAGAGCAGCCAGGACTCAAACCTGTACCCCGATATGGGACATCAGCATCACAAGCAGCTCCTAGAGAAGATGAAAATTAAACATTAGTGGTGATTTTAAAATTTAATGTACTTTGATACATGTTTCTGTTCTCACTGCCATATTGTCCCACTTAAGAGAAAGATATTAAAATTTACTTGTTTATTCTTTTTCTTTTTTTCAGGCAAAAGGCAGGATTGTGGTAATGCCAGGTATTTATCTACCCATTTGCCAGTATAAAACTGAACTCTAGGGGAGGAAGGGCAAAGGAGGAAGGAATGTGGGAGAAAGTATTAGTACATAGTGTTTAGTGAGAAGAATAAAGAGCTTAATTAAAATATTTGGGAGATCCATGTTGGAATTTAAAATTTAGTTACAGAGAACATTCTAAAAAATTAGCTGAGCAAGGAGCACACAGGAAGTAGATTGGGATTGGAGTTTCTCTGTTTGTACTCCCATGGGGTAAAATTTTATGAGTTTGGATATTCATCTCTGGTAAGGTAGCCCAAGTTTGATGCTGCTATGTTAGGGCCAGATATCCTAATTGTTAACAGGATATAAGTGTTTAGACAACATAATATTCTCTGTGCTTAAAAATATCACTAGATTTCTTTCTTGTACCCAGAATAATTTGATCATATGCTTCTGATGATAACCAGATCAATTAAGTAGAAATGAATAGATGAGGACATTTTTATTTTTTTTAAGATTTATTTCATGTTTTGAAAGGTAAGAGTAACACAGAGAGAGGGATGTTCTATCTCTCCGTAAATGGCCACAATGCCAGTGCTGTGCCAGGTATGGATACAAGGGCCCAAGCACTTAGGCTGTTTTCTGCTGCTTTTCCCAGGTCATTACCAGGGAACTGGATCAGAAGTGGAGCAGCCAGTACTTGAATTAGTGCCTGTATGGGATACTAGCATCACATGTGGTGGTTTTACCTTCTACACCACAATGCCAGCCCTGGGGCAGTTTATAAAGAGTTAGGTAAAGCAACCTAGAATCAGAGTGAAACAAATAGAAAGGCAATATTAAGTTTTTTTGCTTTTTATCGTTAAATTTTTCAATATTTTTTAAAAAGGTAGAAAATAGCATAATGAATACTCATATGCCATTCCATAGATTCTACATTTTACCACAGTCCTATTTTTAACACTGAGAAATTTAAGTTAAAAATATGACATTTGATATTTATGCATCTGTAAAAAATGAAGACATTTTACTATAACCACAATACCATTATCACACCTATCAAAGTAAACCCTAATTCCCAAATTCCATTTAACACTCAGTCTGTACTTGTCTTTCTCCAGTTGGCCCTAAAATGTTTTTTCTAGCTATTCTGTTCAAACTAGGAGCCCTTCAAGGAACAAATATTTCATGTGGTTATCTTTCTTAATATCTTTCAATATAGAAGTTTTTCTTTTTCCTACTTTCTTAGAAAAAAAATTACATTTAAAAAGGTTGGACTACTTACTGTGTAGAATGTCCTACTTTCTGGATTACTGTTTTCTCTTGACATTGTTTAGCTTGTTCCTCTAGTCTGTATTTCCTGTAATCTAATAGGTCATAAGGTTTGATTGGATTCTGGATAATTATTTTTGGTAAAAATGCTAATGGGTGATTCTCTATACCTCTTATTGAACCATCTCAAAAAGCATTCAATCTCTGGTCACCTTAACTACTAGTGATGCCAAGACTGACCAGTGTTCAAAATGGAGACAACCAGACAAAGGGCAACTTTTTTGAAAGACAGCGTCACAGAGAGGCAGAGAGAGAGGGCTTCCATCCGCTGCTTCACCCCCCAGACAGCTGCAACAGCCAGAGCTGCACCGATCTGAAGCCAGGAGCCAGGAACTTCTGCCAGGTTTCTCACATGGGTGCAGGAGCCCAAGGACTTGGGCCATCTTCTACTGCTTTCCCAGTCCATAGCAGAGAGCCGGATCAGAAGTGGAGCAGCCGGGACTTGAACTGGTGCCCATATGGGATGCTGGCACTGCAGGAGGCAGCTTTACCTGCTGCGCCACAGCGCCAGCCCCAAGACCAACTTTTAAAAGAGGGCCGTTGGGACATGCATTTAGCACAGCAGTTAAGTCACTGATTGAGATGCCCACATCCAGTATGGGGTGCCAGGTTCAAGTCCCAGCTCCTCCACTTCCACTCCACCCTGCTGCCAATGCTCAGCCTGGGAGGTGATGCCCAAGTACTTGGGTCCCTGCCATCCATGTGGGAGACCTTGCTCCTAGCTTCGGCTTGGTGCAGCCCTATCTTACAGGCATTTGGGGAGAGAACCAGTAGGTGGAAGATTTCTCTCTCTGCCTTTCCAGTATAAAGAAAAATCAATAAAGATTTTGGGGGGCTGACATTGTGGTGTAACAGGTATAGGTGCCATTATCTCTTATAGGCACAGGTCCATGTCCCTGTTTCAGCTCTTTGAATTCATCTCCCTGCTAATGTGCCTGGGAAAAGCAAGGGAAGATGAATCAAGTATGTGGGTCCTTGCCACCCACGTGAAAGACCCAGATGAAGCTCCTGGCTTTCACCTTGGTCCATCCCTGGGTGTCACGACCATTTGGGGAGTGAATCAGAAAATGGGAGATTGTCACTGTCTCTTGACTTTCAAATAAGTAAATAAATCTTTAAAAAATAAAAAGTTTTGAAAAAGAGGCCATGTTGGTGCTAGTGCTTGGCCTTGTGGTTAAGACACCCACATTCTGTGTTGGAGTACCTAGAGTTTGAGTCCAGCTCTGCTGCAGATTGCAGCTTTATGCTGATGTGCACTCTGGGAGGTGGTGATAGTGGCTCCAGTAATTCTACCCATGTGGCAGACCTGAGCTGAGTTCCTGGATCCCAGCTATAGCCTGGCCCAGCCCTAGCCATGTAGGGGATATTGTCAGATACTTAGGAAGACATTGACCTATAGCCAAGTCCCTAAAACATAAGTACGTAGAAAACATGTTGTCTGTCCAGTTGAATCCCTTTATAGATTAGCCAAGGAATGTTAGAGACTCTCTGAGTCTGCTACGTTTCCATTTAAGACTAAATATATTTAGTCTGGACAACTAATACCCAGAATTAGACAGCTGTTAGCTTAGAGTGCCTCTGCCTAATTTGTAGCTATTAAGTTATCTGCTGTGCACAAGGACTACTTAGGACACAAAATCATACAAGAAGCTACGTCCTTAAATTGATAGTTTTGTCTTTATTTTGTTTTTAAGATTTATTTATTTATTTGAGAGGCAGTTACAGAGGGAGAGAAAGAAGTCTTCCATCAGCTGGTTCAGTCCCCAGATGGCTGTAATGGCCGGAGCCGGACTGATCAGAAACTAGGAGCAAGGAGCTTCTTCTGGGTCTCCCACATGGTTGCAGGGGCCCAGGTGCTTCGGCCGTCTTTTACTGCTTCCCCAGGCATATTAGCAGGAAACTGGATCAGAAGAGGAACAGCTGGGACACTAACTGATTGCCCGTATTGATGCCAGTGCCATAGGCAGAGGCTTAACCTACTAGGCCACAGTGCTAGTCCCAAGAAAGTGATAGTTTTAAGTCAGAGTATGTTTTATATATAGAAATATTTGTGATGAATTTATTTAACAGCCCTAATGAAGTGAATACTAATCATATGTCAAATATAATTATATGTAATATGCTAATTATGGCAGAAAATAGAAATGAATCTGAAGTAATGTACTTAAAGAGTTTACAGAGTAAACTTAAATTACTACAGTTTCATCTAAATAACAATTAAAAATTTGTAGGTCAGTCTAAATGCCTAATGAGTATTCATCATTGGAAATACAAAAGTAAATAGGGCATAGTACTTGCCCTCTAGAGGGACTCCTTGTTTAAGCTCCAGTTTTCTCACTGTAAACATAAGAATATTGATCTAGCTGTTTTCTGAGATCCTTTTTTAACTATAAAGCTGTGTTTGGAAAATGAAATAACCAGTAAAGTTAATAATCACTGAGCAACTTGTGTGTCAAAGGGCAGGTAGTTTGTTATTCTTCGGAGGGAAATAACATCTTTATCTCTTAAACCTTACAACATGCTTATGTTATCCCTTTTTTAATTGATGAAGAAATTGAGGGTCCACAGATTAAATAATTTGTCTAAGATTGCCCATCTGTGAAGAGCTACAGTAGTGAGCCAGAACCCCTCTTTAAATCTGAAATCTCAGATGCCTTAGGGCTTTTTACTTCTTAGGGGCAGTATTACTGCACCACTCAGAAAAAAAGAAACCAAATGAATGAGTCTCAGAATATGTAAAGGCACTTTATTTCAGCAACTTGAATAGCTTGAAATACAAAGTACACATTTGATGTCATTAAAAAATATTTATTGACTGCATCCTACATATTAGGAGATGAGGATATAAAGATGAGTACACTAATTTCATATTTATAATCCATTTGTACCAATTCAGATTATGGTTTTTTATAAATACTTAAAAGATTGTTTATCAAAACAAATACAAGGTTACTTCAGAAAGTTCTTGGAAAATGGAATTAAAATGTGAGTTTATTTTTGGTTCAGAAGTTTTTGAAATCCCTGTTGGTTTTTCATAATACACATTTTCCATGAATCTTTCTAAAATTTATTTATTTATTTTTATTTATTTATAGAGAAAGGCAAACAGTGAGAGAGATCCCATCCACTGGCTTGTTCAGTAGCCATCAAGGCTGGGCCAGGCCAAAGCCAGAACTGTGAATTCATCCAGGCTTCCACACAACCACCCAAGCCATCAACAGCTGACTCTTAGGTACTCATTAGCAGGAAGATGGAATCAGGAGCAGAGACAGAACTCAAACCCAGGTACTCAAATATCAGATGCAGCTGTCTTAACTATTGTTGAAACAACTAGGCCAAATGTCTACCCCTCCATGAACTTTTAAGGCCTTAATATCAGCCATCATTAAGTACTTAGTTGCATAGTTTTAATAAAGTAGAATCGATTCTTCTGTAAAATGAAACTTGTAACCAAGTAAACTAGAACACCTTGCATTATTTCCATTTCCAGTGAAGTTTGAATCCTAAGCGAGAGAGAATCTTTGAGGTTCTGTCTTTCAGACACATCTCTGAGGTTATACTTTTGCAGCTTCTTTCTCATTTTAGTTTTATTTTGCTTTAATTGGGCAACAGAGTAGGGATGGAAAACTCAATGACTTTCCTGGTCCCAGGGCAGTCTTTTTAAATTTAGTCAGTAATGTACAGCATTGTTAAACTGCGTCGTACACTCATAGATTCTATGACCTTTGTAGTTCTTCTCTAGGGTCTGTAGGCTTTTCTGATCTCATTTTAGCTCAGTAGGGAAAGAATAATTCTTGAAATCAATGAGAAGTTTAAGAATGAGGATTTTAAGTAGAGAAAAAAGTCATTTTTATTCATTAAATTTTGTGAAAAATTCTCCTTAACATGGCACTTACTCTTTCCAACAGGGGGTGGCATAACAGACAGAAACCTACAAAGGATCCTTGAGGGTTCAGGGGCCACAGAATTCCACTGTTCTGCTCGGTCTGCTAGAGACTCAGGAATGAAGTTTCGGTAAAAATGTATTCTTTGATTAATACAAGAAGGGATGAGATTAATCTTCTCTTAATTGATGTCATGATTAGTGAATGGAGTGTAGTTATTAGTGTATAATTATTATAGTTGTTTTGTAGTTGAAAAGCATTTCTAAAACTGTTCTTGTCCTGCCTTAAAGTAGCAGGACCTGGGGCCAGCATTGTGGCATAGCAGGTAAAGCTGCCTGCAACACTGGCATACCATTTGTAACCCAGCTGCTCCTCTTCCAATCCGCCTGGGAAAAGTAGCAGAAGATGGCCCAAGCGCTTGAGCTCCTGCCAGCTGTGTAGGAAACTCAGAAGATGCTCCTGGCTCCTGGTTTCCGCCTGTCCTAGCCCAGTCCATTGGAGCCCTCTGGGGAGTAAACCAGCAGATGGAAGATTTCTCTTTCTCTAACTTTCAAATAAATAAATCAATAAATCTTTTAAAATAAAAAATAAAGAGTCTTCTGAACTTAGGTGAACCTGTGTATCCTTAAGTTATTGCTAAACTCAGATGTGTTAATAATAAACTAATTCAACAGCCAGGCTACAAATGAGTCAGTTATGCACATATGCCCATTCACCTTTGCTTCGCTTCAGCAGAGTAACTGTGGTCTAAGGATAAAAGAGTCATCACCATTGTCATTCCTACTACTTTTAATATTTAGTCAGTTTTCCTTCACCTTTGATCTCTATTTTCAATTACTTGAAATTACACCACCATTAAGGAATTGAAACTATTTGTTGGCTTTTATACTTGAAAAAGTTCCTGTAATTTAATAGTAGTTGAATGCCTCTTTTTACAAGTTAGGGAAAATGAAGTTTGAAAAGAAGCAACTTCAGAACTTATTTTTCCACATATAAAGTCAAGTATACTATCTAATAGTTTTAGCTATTAGGTATTTCAAGTAATTAATGAGGAAAATTATGAAATGGTAGTCCATGGTTCTTGACCTACTCTTGTTCTTGAGCCATGAAATAGTCTATAAAATGAGAGGGCTCATTTAACAGTTTACAAAATTATCTGTTCCTTTATTTCTTTTGCAGAAATTCCTCTGTTGCTATGGGAGCCTCGCTTTCTAGCTCAGAATATTCTGTAAAGGTAACAGATGTGACCAAAGTAAGGACTTTGAATGCTATTGCAAAGAATATCCTGGTTTAGCCAGACCTCTCTGAGACACATGACGATCTCTGGATAAAGGTAGAAGTATAACCTACAATTCCTTATGAGACAGCTTTAACTTACTTCTCTTCACATGGCCATGGAGAATGTTTTCCAGAAGAAAAAGAACTTGAAACAGGATACAATCACTTCCTTTGCTTAATCTTGCCAGCCATTGCCGTCATCATGATTAAATCTGGTCTGTGCTTTCTCTGCAGACAGACTTAGCTTGTGGTGAACTGGGAAAACTCAGCTGCAAGGTACGAATTTAGAGTGTGACTTCAGGATCAATTCAATAGCAACGTTTTGCTTTTTCATTTATAAAATAAAAATTTCCACTCTATTATGATATGGCCTCTTATTTTTACCCTGAATGCATTCCATAGCCAAGTATGAAAAGGAAGATTTTGTTTTGCTTTTTACTTCATTTTCTCATCATGATGTACTTATTATATATGCTGTCCTGGATGAGATGTTAAGGGTACAAAGTAAAATGATACAGCATAAAAATTCCCAGATTTGAGTAGCATATAAAAGTTCCTAAATTCAGTATCATATGCACTTGCACATATTTGGAATTTTGGCCTGACCCTCCCCCATGCTTGGACTTCTCTATATGATCTTCCTTAGAGACAAAAGCAGGCCATGTTATCATCTCCATTTTAAGTGATATACTCATGTTAAAGCACCAGATACATGGTAAGCACTCATTAAATGTTGGTTCCTTTTTCCCAGATTGGCTTTCTGGTATTAATCTTTGATAGTTTAAAAGCCTTTCCCAGGATTCCAGGCATTGAGTGATAAAGCCAGCATTTACTCTGTACCTTCCACTACGTGAATATGAATATATGAAGCATAAAGTAATCCCTACCTTGATTTTTTCCGCTTACGTCTAGTTTTTAAAATATGTACTAGGGCTAGCTCTGTGGTGTAGTGGGTAAAGCTGCCACCTGCAGTGCCGGCATCCCATATGGGTGCCGGTTCAAGTCCCGGCTGCTCCACTTCTGATCCAGCTCTCTGCTGTGACCCTGGAAAGCAGTAAAACAGGGCCCAAGTCCTTGGGCCTCTGTACCCACGTGGGATACCCGGAGAGGGTCCTGGCTCCTGGCTTCAGATTGGTGCAGCTCCGGCCATTGCAACCATTTGGGAAGTGAACTAGTGATGGAAGACTGACCTCTCTCTGCCTCTGCCTCTGACCCTCCTTCTCTCTCTGTGTAACTCTGACTTTCAAATAAATAAATAAATCTTTAAAAAATATTTACTGAGGGGCCGTCACTGTATTGTAGCAGGAAAAGCCATGGCCTGCAGTGTTGGCATCCCACATGAGCACCATTTCAAGTCTCAGCTGCTCCACTGCCAATCCAGCTCTCTGCTATGGCCTGGGAAAGCAGAAGATGGCCTGAGTGCTTGGACCCCTGCACTCAAGTGAGAGACCTGAAAGAAGCTTCTGGCTCCTGGCTTTAGATCAGCTCAGTTCCAGCAGTTGTCATCTGGGGAGTGAACCAGCAGATGGAAGACCTCTCTGTCTCTGCCTCTCTGTAACTCTGCCTTTCAAATAAATAAATAAATCTTTTAAAAAATTACTGATAATTTCATGTGTGTAAGTTCCTTATCAGCAATATTTCAAGTATTTTGAGGATAGGGAGGCATGACTTCAGATTTTTGTATGAGTGGGTCTTCAAAAAGTTTGTGGAAAATATGTATTGTGGAGAAACTATGCACATGTTTCAAAATTTTTTAAAAATAATTACTTGGGAGGCAGTTACAGAGGGAGAGAGAGAGAGAGAGATCTTCCATCCACTGGTTCACTCCCCAATTGCTGCAACAGCTGGATCTGGGCTGATCCAAAGCCAGGAGCTTCATCCAGTCTCCCACACAGGTACAGGGACCCAAGCACTTGGGCCATCTTCTACTGCCTTTTCAGGCCATCAGCACGGAGATAACCGGCATTCAATCCGAGATGCTGGCACCTCAGGCTTAACCTGCTATGCCACTGTACTGACACCGATTTCAAAATTTTTTAATGAAGGGGCCAGTGCTGTGGCACAGTGGGTTAACGCCCTTGCCTGAAGCGCCGGCATCCCATATGGGCACCAGTTCTAGTCCCAGCTGCTCCACTTTTGATCCAACTCTCCGCTATGGCCTGGGAAAGCATAAGAAGATGGTCCAAGTCCTTGGGCCCTAGCACCCGCATGGGAGACCAGGAAGAAGCTCCTGGCTCCTGGCTCCTAGCTTCGGATCGGTGCAGCTCTGGACGCTGCAGCCAAATGGGGAGTGAACCATCAGATGGAAGATCTCTCTCTCTCTCTCTCCCTCTCCTCTCTCTCTGTGTAACAATGACTTTCAAATAAATAAATCTTTAAAAAAATTTTTAATGCCAAAATAAGATGCCCTTTTGGTTCCTTTTTTTCAGTGGAGCTTTTTTATTCAGCATTCACTGTAGCAAGTATTACCCTTGGATAACTTTTTTTTTTTTTTTAAGATTTGTTTATTTATTTGAAAGAGTTACACAGAGAGAGGAGAGGCAGAGAGAGAGAGAGAGAGGTCTTCCATCTGATAGTTCACTCCCCAATTGGCTGCAACGGCCAGAACTGTGCCGATCCAAAGCCAGGAGCCAGGAGCTTCTTCGTGGTCTCCCATGTGGGTGCAGGGGCCCAAGGACCTTGGCCATTTTCTACTGCTTTCCCAAGCCATAGCAGAGAGCTGGATTGGAAGAGGAGCAGCCGGAACTAGAACCAGTGCCCATATGGGATGTGGGTGCTTCAGGCCAGGGCTTTAACCCACTGCACCACAGCGCTGGCCCCATGATATCTTTTTTATTTTTTTATTTTTATTTTTATTTTTTGCCAGGCAGAGTTAGTGAGAGAGACAGAAAGGTCTTCCTTTTGTTGGTTCACTCTCCTAATGGCCACTACAGCCAGCGCTGCACCGATCTGAAGCCAGGAGCAGGGTACTTCCTCCTGGTCTCCCATGCAGGTGCAGTTACCCAAGCACTTGGGCCATCCTCCTCTGCCCTCCCAGGCCACAGCAGAGAGCTGGACTGGAAAAGGAGCAACCAGGACTAGAACCCGGGGTGCCGGCGCTGCGGGCAAAGGATTAGCCAAGTGAGCCATGGCACCAGCCCCCCATAATATCTTTTTTTTTTTTTTTTTTTTTTACAGGCAGAGTGGACAGAGAGAGAGAGAGACAGAGAGAAAGGTCTTCCTTTGCTGTTGGTTCACCCTCCAATGGCCACCGCGGCTGGTGTGCTGTGGCCGGCGCACCGCGCTGATCCGAAGGCAGGAGCCAGGTGCTTCTGGTCTCCCATGGGGTGCAGGGCCCAAATACTTGGGCCATCCTCCACTGCACTCCCTGGCCACAGCAGAGAGCTGGCCTAGAAGAGGGGCAACTGGGAAAGAATCCGGTGCCCTGACCGGGACTAGAACCCGGTGTGCCAGCGCCGCAAAGCGGACAATTAGCCTAGTGAGCTGCGGCACCGGCTTCCCCCCATAATATCTTAATACTAGCCAATTGCCTGCCCCTCAACTAAGTTTTTGAAATACCCTTGGAGCTCTCGTTTGCTACCACACTGTATATTTGTAGTATTGATTATCTTGCCTAGTAGAAGAGCACTGAATTGGGAATTAGAACCTCAATTCTGGTCCTGATTCTGTCACTGACTTTGATAACTATGCTGGGTATTTTTTGTTTGCTCTTCCAGATCCATTCTCCACAACGGCCCACATCAGTGGCTTTCATGCCCTTCAACTTCTGGTTGGGCCTGGCCAATGGAAAATATCACAGGAGATGGCAGGGTGGAAAGTTCTTCCCTACCATATTGTTGGGAGTTGGCTGTGTCCCTTTAGGGATCGTAGCTCCTATCAGTTGTTCCTGGACCCACCCTTTCTGGGTTCTGATAAATAGTCCTTTCCCTTTGCCTCTTCAGGCTTATAGATGGTGATAATGCCAGATTGTTATTAGACCTGGCTTACTGCACTATTTATTCCTTGTTGTTTTCTTAAACCCATACCCATACCTTAATATAGTTCTTTATTAAACTTTCCTCAAATTGTCCTATTAAAGTATATCATCTGTTTCTTACCAGGGCCTTAACTAATAAGTAATCTACAACCTTTCAAGAATTCAAATTCTCTATTTGTAAATTCTTCCCAACTTCAGCACGTGTTTGAACCATCACACACTGCTACTTGAATGCTACAGAGTGTTACACTCCATAACAAAAGGATTCTATTCATAACTTCAAATAGAGGTATCTTTGGGGGCATTTATATCTTTTCTATAATTCAATGTATTATCTTCGATTCTGTTCCCAAAGCAACATGATGCCACTTTCTGGTATAGAGTTACTTTTGGGCTTTTATGATTTTTTCATCCCTACACACATTGAGCACTTTTTTTTTTTTTTAAAGATTTATTTATTTGAAAGAGTTACACGAAGAGGAGAGGCAGAGAGAGAGAGAGAGAGAGAGGTTTTCCATCCACTGGTTCACTCCCCAGTTGGCTGCATCAACCGAAGCTGTGCCGATCTGAAGCCGGGAGCTTCTTCTGGGTCTCCCACGTGGGTGCAGGGCCTCAAACACTAAGTAAACCAGCAGACAGGATATCTCTCTGCCTTTCAAATAAAAATGAAAACTAAGAATTATAAAAAATTATCTGGTTGTAAACATATTTAATGGTGAAATAATAGTAAACACTTATGAGATTGGGAATGAGACAAGGATGCCCACTATCACCATTTCTAACACTTTACTGGCAATCTTAGTACAAAAAGGCAAAACAAAAATTTAATTTTTTTTTTTTTTTTTTTGGACAGGCAGAGTGGACAGTGAGAGAGAGAGAAAGGTCTTCCTTTTGACGTTGGTTCACCCTCCAGTGGCCGCTGCGGCTGGTGAGCTGTGGCCAGCGCACCGCGCTGATCCGAAGCCAGGAGCCAGGTGCTTCTCCTGGTCGCCCATGTGGGTGCAGGGCCCAAGCACTTGGGCCATCCTCCACTGCACTCCCTGGCCACAGCAGAGAGCTGGCCTGGAAGAGGGGCAACCGGGACAGATTCCGGCGCCCCGACCGGGACTAGAACCTGGTGTGCTGGCGCCGCAAGGCGGAGGATTAGCCTATTGAGCCACGGCACCGACAAAACAAAAATTTTTAAAGATTGGAGAGGAAGACATAAAACTATATTTTTTGCAGACATTGTATAAAGAAAATTTTTAAAAAATTTATTAGTTACTAGTGAATTCAGCAAGGTTATTGGGTGTAGTTAACATAAAAATTTCATTCCTATATTCCAGGAAAAAAATTAGAAAATGAATTGTAAATGATATAAAAACATTACGTATTTGAAATATGTTCAGTTTATTTTATGTGTTATACCTCAGTGAGGCTGTTTCCAAATGATACTATGTGTAACCACATATTACAATATCAGTACTATATTGGATGCCTAGTAAACTAATAAAATTTAATTTCATGTGAACATTTTAATACATGCCTGGCTTAGTAATTTTCGTACTTCTCATTCGTTCTCTCTTCTCTCAGAACACAGTACTTCATCAGCATTAGCAGTTTATAATACGCTGGGATACCATGGGAAATTAAGTCTGTGTGTTGTATTTTTTTTTTAAGATTTTATTTATTTGAGAGGTAGAGTTCCAGACAGAGAAACAGAGAGAAAGGCCTTCCATACAAATGACTGCAGTGGCTGGGGCTGGGCCAGACCAAAACCAGAAGCCAGGAGCTTCTTCCAGATCTCCCATGCAGGTACAGGGGCCCAGGCACTAGGGCCATCTTCCCCTGTTTTCCCAAGCCATAGCAGAGGGCTGGATCAGAAGAGTAGCAGCCATATGGGATGTTGGTGCTGCAGGCAGATGCTTAGCCTACCATGCCACAGCATTGGCCTCTGTGTTGTATTTTAGGCTCTTCATTATACTTTACTCTGGAATGGTCTTTTTTCCTCCATGAGAGCATGTACTTAAGCAGGAAGCTCATATTTGTATTTTTCCCACAGTATTTCTTACATGGTAGATGATTAAAAATATCTGTTAATATAAATTTATTTGATAGTAGATTATAGTCGGTTATGTTGATTCTGTTGATATCTGAGATCTTCTAATCCATTGAAACAGCATTCATTTGATTGCTAACTGAAGAGTAGTTCACCCAGTTCTTTCCATCAGGGGAAAATTTATCAGATAGACCTTTCCTTTCCTCTTGCATCCTTAAATTCCAGTTCTGGTAAAACTGGAGCCAAGTTTTTGTTTTAATTCATTGGATCTAAAGTTTTAGGAACCCCTTTCTTTCAAGATACAATGTTTACTTTTTTCCCAGAATTCATCAGGTCTTCAGGTCATTTATAATTTGGTTTCTTATGATCCTTTGTGCCTTAAAAAGGGCTCACTGGTGGCTCATAAACCAAAAGTTCGAAAGCCCTGTCTACAAAAATAGGAATATTTGAAAGTTAAATGCAGATTATGTATTATTAACTGTTTCCCTATGTTTCTCTAGTTCAGCTGAAGAAGTTATAATTAGCTTTCCAGTATTCTATCAACTCCTTTCCCGAAGTGTGGTTATCAAACTAACAGCATCAGTGTCATCTGGGAATTTATTAAAGATGAAAGTTTTTGAGCTCCATTCCCCTAAATCTATGGAATCAAACTCTGTAATTGGACCCAGCAATCCATCAGTTTACCCAATCCTATAGGTGATTCTGAGAGATTTCAAAGAATATATAGTACAAGGGTACTTCAAAAAATTCATGGAAAAAGTGCAGTTAATTTTGGTGCAAAGCATTTGAAGTCTCTGCAGTTTTTCATAATATGCATTGTCCATGAACTTTTTGGAGATCTCTGTGCACAGATGCCAAATGTTTGTACCAAAATAAACTTTGTTTTTCCACAGATGTTTTGAAGTACCTTTGTGTATAGTGATACTAAAATTTCAGAAGTGACAAGTATTGGGAGAAAGTCTTATTAGAGGAAGACTAGTGAAACAAGCTAGAATATGGTACTGACAGAGAAAAAGTCATAACTCCAAATGATAGTTAAAGATAACCAAGTGGGGGCCGGTGCTGTGGCATAGCAGGTAAAGCTGCCACCTGCAGTGCTGGCATTCCATATGGGCGCTGGTCGGGGTCCTGGCTGCTCCACTTCTGATCCAGCTTTCTGCTATGCCTGGGAAAGCAGTGGAGATGGTCCAAGTAATTGGACCCTGCACCTGCATGGGAGTCCCAGAAGAATCTCCTGGCTCCTGGCATTAGATCGGCCCATCTCTGGCTGTTGCAGCCATCTGGGGAGTGAACCAGCAGGTGGAAGACCACTCTCTCTCTCTAACTCTGCCTTTCAAATAAATAAATCTAGAAACAAAATAAAGAAGAAAGCGACAACCTAGTAAAATGTGGTTTACAGTGGATTTAATGTGAACTTATTTTGGCTAAAATATCTACGGCATTGTATGAACATCATCAAGGAGTGCAAAATCAAGGAGTGTGAAACATAGTTCAGATGTTTCAGGACCAAATGTTAAAATAGGCAAGTATTCACAGTCTTTTCTGCCTTCTCCAGAGAATTCATTAGTTTTTATTCTTGATATGATAAGGCCAATAGCTGGAGAGGAAAATTGGAGAAGTCTGGAGAGGCTACATGATTTTCTTTGGAAAGGGTACAGAGCAACCTTGGAAAGAAGAGATCCAGAAGGAAAGATGGGATGGGAGTGTGTACTTGATTTAGTAGATGATGAAGAGCCATTAAAGGGACACCTTCTTTTAGGAAAATCAGTATGAAACACAGAGATGTGGAAATTATAAAGCTACTGTAAAAGTTAGGCAGACTTCACTGGTGAATTCTTCAAAACATTTAAAGAGGAATTAACATCAGTCCTCAAAATTTTCAAAAAATAAGAAGAATACTTCCCAACTCTTCCTATGAAGCCAGTATTCTCTATTTCCAAAGAGAAAAAATCCTAAATATTGATAACCTTTTGCCAAAGTCCCCAACAAAAGACTTGCAGACCAAATGCAACAGTGTAAAACAGATTACACACTATGACCAAATGGGAGTTGGCCTAGGAATGCAAGGCTACTTTAACGCTTTAAAATGAACAAATGTAATACACCATGTTATTAAAGGACAAAAATCATATTGTCATCTCAGTTGACAGAAAATCATTTGAAAAAATCTAGCACCCTTTTGTGATTAAAAACTCGGCAAACTTGGAGTAAGAAATTTCTCAACCTGAAGAAGAACATCTATTAAAAAGAAAAAAAAAGGAGAAGCCCATGACTGAGATTATACTTGATACTTTTTCCATATGATGAAGAGCAAAACAAAATGTCCACTCTCATCACTTCTACTGAATATTGTGCTGGAGATTTTAGCCAGAGCAAGTAAGTGAGAAAAACAGAATCCAGATTGGAAAGGAAGAAGTAAAACACTGTTTACAGGTGACATGATTTTGTATATAGCAAATACTAAAACATCCACGTACAACCTTAAAATTAATATACAATTTCAGCAAGTTTTTACAAGATCAATATGCAAAATCAGTTGTATTACTATACACCAGCAAGAAACAATTCTAAATAATTAAAAATTCGTGCTGGCACTGTGGCTCAGTGGGTTAATGCCCTGGCCTGAAGCGCCGGCATCCCATATGGGTGCCGGTTCGAGTCCCAGCTGCTCCACTTCCCATCCAGCTCTCTTATATGGCCTGGGAAAGCAGTAGAAGATGGCCCAAGTCCTTGGGCTCCTACACCTGCGTGGGAGACCTGGAGGAAGCTCCTGGCTCCTGGCTTCAGATTAGCGCAGCTCCAGCCATTGCGGCCAGTTGGGGAGTGAACCTTCGGATGGAAGACCTCTCTCTGCCTCTCCTCTCTCTCTGTGTATCTCTGACTTTCAAATAAATAAATTTTTAAAAAATTCAATTTATTATAGCATCAACAAGTGAAATACTTAAGAAATTTAGCCATAGAAGTGTAAGATTACACTGAAAACTACAAAGCATTGCAGTTTGTTTTTCTGAAATAAATTGTAAAAATCTAAACAAATATGGAAATAAAGCTATTAGATGTATGTTCATAGTTTGAAAAATTTATTGTTTTTAAGATTGAAAGTCACTCTAGATTCAGTGTGATGCCTGTCATAATTTCAACTGTTTTTTTTTTTTCACAAGTTAACAAATTTCATCTGGAAATGCAAAGAACCAAACCAAATAGCCAAACAATCTTGAAAAAAAATAGTAGACTCAAAATCAGTTACTTTTAACTCACTACCTAATTAATCTAGATACCGTAGTATTGGCATCAAGATAAATTTATATGTCGTTGGAATATGAGAACTCAGAAATGCTTGAAATTTTTTTAAAAGATGTACTTATTTATTTTGAAAGTTAGAGGAGAGACATCTGATTCATTCCCCAAGTGGCAGCAATGGCCAGGCCAAAGACAGGATCCAGTAGCTTCATTCAGGTCTCCCATGTGGCTGACCTGACCCCAAACACATGGGCTGTCTTCTGCTGCTTTCCCGGGCCACTAGCAGGGAACTGGATTGCAAGTGGAGCACCCACAACAGGAACTGGCGCTGATAAGGGATATCAACATTGCAGTCAGCAGCTTTACCTGCTACATCACCGTGTCAGCCCCATATAGTTGGATTTTGAGAGTTCCAGGACAATTCACTGGAGAAAGGATAGGGGTTTTATTTTGTTTGCTTTTAAGGAAACAATTCCCACCCGTGATTCAGTCCCCAAATACCCACAATACCCAAGCGTAGCTGGGCCAGGGCCATATCCAGGAATGTATTCTAGGTCTCCCTCGTGGGTGGCAATAAGACAAACACTTGATCCATGACCACTGCCTCCCAGGGTCTGCATTAGCAGGGAGTCAGGAGCCAGAGGCAGGGATCGAATCCAGGGCCAGTATGTAGGATGCTGGTGTCTTAACTGCTAGGCTAAACACCTGCTCCAAGAATAGTCGTAACATAGTTCTGGAACAGCTACATGTTCACATACAAAAATTAATGCACAGGGATCATTGGCCTAAAAGTAAAAGCTAAAACAAGCCTCATAAGGAGAAAACAAGAGTAAATCCTTGTGATCTTGAGCAAAACCTTCTTAGATATAACACCTGAAATATAAATAGCAACAACAAAATATATGAATGAATTAGACTATCAGAGTGGAAAGATTTTATTAATAGCTTCAAGAAAAGTGAAAAGAAACTCACAGAATAGGAATTTTTGCAAAGCCTGTGTCTAACGGGAATCTTGTAACCAGAATATATAAAGAACACTTCAAAAGCAATTTTTAAACCAATTTTTTTAAAGATTTATTTATTTGAGAGAGTTAGAGAGAGGAGAGGGAAAGAGAGAGGTCTTCCATCCACTGTAAACCAATTTTTAAATGAAAAATGATTTAATAGACGTTTCTCCAAAAAAGGCATAAAATCAGACAAGCACGTGAAAAGTGGCACCACGTAAGTCATTGGAGAAGAAAATAAAAACCGTTGTGAGATACTACTTCATACCCACTAGGATGACTAATATAAAGACTGACCAGCAAGTGTTGAGTAAGATATGGAGCAGCTAGAACCCCGAATACTGCTGGTGGGAATGAAAAATGGTACATCCGTTTTTTTAATCTCTTAATTTTATTTGAAAAGCAGAGTGACAGAGCAGTGAGACAAAGAAAAAGAGAACTTCTGTCCTTTGGTTCAGTTCCCCAAATGGCTGCAATATGTTGGATTGGGTGCCCAGAACTCCATCTGGATCTCTTAAATGGGTGAAAGGGGCCGTCTTCTGTCTTCCCAGGCATACCAGCAAGGAGCTGGATCAGAAGCAGAGCAACCAGGATTCAAACTGGCACTTTGATGTGGGATGCCAGAGTCACAAGTGGCAGGTTAACTGGCTGCACCACAAAGCCAGCCCACCCATGCATCCATTTTATAAAACAGAATTTCTCAAACTGTTAAAGATAGAGTTGCCATATGACTCAGCAATTCCATTCCTAGATATATACCCCAAAGAATCGAAACCATGTCCACATGAAAACTTAGTATGTGAATGCTTGTAACAACCTATCCGTTTAAAGAAAAACCATTTGCAATTCTTAATGAAATAAAGCAAAGATAAACCCATTAGGTAAGAGATTTATTAGAAGCTAAATATCCACATGGTGCCCAAAAATCACATTATAGATTATTTGCTAGTCATAAACGTGGGAATTTAATGTTAATAATTACTTACCTGGGGCCAGCGCTGTAGCACAGCAGGTTAAAGCCCCAGCCTGCAGCACCAGCATGCCATATGGGCACCAGTTCAAGTCCCAGCTGCTCCTCTTCCAATTGCGCTCTCTGTTATGGCCTGGGAAAGCAGTAGAGGATGGCCCAAGTCCTTGGGCCCCTGCACCCATGTAGGAGACCTGGAAGAAGCTCCTGGCTCCAGGCTTCGGATCAGCTCAGCTCTGGCCATTGCGGTCATTTGGGGAGTGAACCAGCGGAATGGAAGACCCTCTCCCTCTCCCTCTCCCTCTCCCTCTCCCTCTCCCTCTCCCTCTGCCTCTCTGCCTCTCTGCCTCTCTGCCTCTCTGCCTCTCTGCCTCTCTCTATGTAACTCTGACTTATTTAAAAAATAATTACTTACCTAGTTGGTGCCATTTTTAACCCAGTAATCAAACTTAGCACTAAGAGTAGTAGAGGGGCCAGCTCTGCGGCTTAGTGGGTAAAGCCACCACCTGCGGTGCCGGCATCCTAAATGGGATCCCTTTTGAGTCCTGGCTGCTCCTCTTCCCATCCAGCTCCCTGCTGTGGCCTGGGAAATCGGTAAAAGATGCCCCAAGTCCTGTGTGGGATGCTCCCACACCTGCGTGGGAGACCCGGAAGAGGCACCTGGCTCCTGGCTTTGGCCATTTTGGCCATCTGTGGAGTGAACCAGTGGATGGAAGTGTCTCTCTCTCTCTCTCTCTCTCTCTCTCTCTCTCTCTCTCTCTTCCACCCCTTCTCTGTAACTCTGCCTTTCAAATAATAAATCTTTAAAAAAAAAAAAAAAGTAGTAGCACAGCATACTGCTGAAAGAAAGGATTCAAAGAACTGGCCACCTGGAAACAAAACAAAATAAAGTATATGGTTAGCCACCGATCCAGCCAGACTGAATTACAAAGAGCACAGTTCATAGGGTGGCCAGCTGTCCCAGTCTGCTTAAAGCTTTTTCATTTTTAGCATCTCAAAGTCCCACATCCTAGGAAACTCCTTGATGCCAAGTTTACTGGAAAGCTGATCACCTTATCAGCACCTCTGCACCTCTCCCTCCTGGTCCTCACCTCCTTGCCCTAATCCTAGACTTAGAAGAGGAAGGATTAAATAAGAAGAAACATTCATGAAAGGAATG